TATTGTAACTGTAGTAATATCATGGGTGACAAATAACTCCTTAATTTTGGCGGGAAATAAATATATTATTTAACGTGTGAAATTATTAAATTTCTTCGGCAACTCAGTGCCAAGATGGCATTCAAGGTTTTAAAATATTGTGAATGAAGATGTCAGGGCATTAAAAGATGGTTTACAAAACCTATACTCACAAAAGAGGACATCAAGAAGGATTCCAACAGGTATTTTGTCGAAAATTCAGAAAATTTATGGTCTAAACTTTTAAGTGCATGGAGTTCTTGATACAATAAACAAGTAAAAAAAAATAAACAGCAAAAAATTGTGAGCATGATATGTCACCCATGTAAAATAGGCAATCACATGGTATATAAAAATTAGGGACCATTTCACTTGCATTTTTTCCAAATTCTAATAATTTCCTGAGCCTATGAAATCTTCCTTTTTACATAAGAAGAACTAAACCACCCCTTCTTTTTCATGAATCATTCAAGTCATCAGGTCTGTACTGTCACCAACCCAGGGCTTGAAAAAAGCTTGAATTCCAGCAGCTTTCACATTTTGCTTGCCCAGGGCCATGGCTTGCTTGTCCTAACTAATGATTTAATTTAGTCACTAGATGACTTGCCTGGAACGTCACTTGCCCTTTGGACAAGTGAAAGTTAAAAAGGTACCTACCCAACAAGGAAATCTACTTTTCCCAGATGACCCAACAGGGATTTTTTCGAGCCCTGCAACCTCTTGTGGGTTTTTCCCCAATGGTCAGCAAAGGAATGATGAATTCCATTAAGGCGTTTTGAGTTCAGTTCCTTTCCAGGTCAAAGATTTTTTCTTTGCCTCGCAAGGTTCCCTGATTTCCTTTACCAAGACCAGTGAAGACAGGGGAGAGAAACGGGCAGTTTAATTTCTTTTCTCCCTATTTTTTTCCCTATTTTTCTCCCTCCTCCCTAATTTTTTCGGCTGTTTCTCCCTTCTCCCTGATTTTTCACCTTTCTCCCTGATAAGTCTTTTAAGAGGCTTATTTTATTTGCTACTTCACCGCAGTGCCTCATTTCCATAATTATGTCTTAAAACATCTGAAGACTAATGCTCAGAAGGTTTTACGGTTCATCTCTTGCACTTAGATTTACACTTCAGAGTTAACTTTATTTCCTATCCTTTGTGTCATAGTGCTATATACATTAATATGTACCCTTCCCTAACATTTTCTCGCCCCTAACAGGCTGCTGTAAGTTTGGGGACTATGATTATGACAGAAGAGTGGGTAACAAGGTGCTGGGAAAGACGTAATGAGCTGTAAGTAATTTGAAAAGTATTGTTGGTCACTTACTGACTTCATTATGTGACACACATCGTGTATACTGCTAAGATCAGCAAACAATTCTGGTGTTTTTTCATGGTACTTAACACATATAATTTTATCGTTGATATGAATGTGTAGTACATAACTTAATTTTAAATGGGATTGTTTTTTTAGGGGAGCAACTGCAATGGATGAAGGAATGGTGAGTTTGTTTGTTTTTTCTCCTGCGTTTTTAATTAACGAGAACATAGGGTAAAATTAAAAATTCCCTTGGTGACTCAATACCAGTTATTATTGTAAGCTGTGTGCATGTATTTCATCTTCACTCTCTGGTATTAAAGATGTACAGTTCATGACTGATTTGAGCGATTTTATTAAAAATTCAGTACTGTAATTTGTTCAGGAAAAATACAAGATGATGCCTTTTCACGGGTGTCATCTCAGTTTTCATGGATTTCCGGAAGAGGAGAAGAAACACATGGAAGAATCTACGGAGAAGCAAGGTAAGAATTTTAACTCCATGTACAGTGAAGAGCATTAGGTCTGGTGGACCCAAAATAAAGTGCAGGGCACCCTGTATAAGTCTGTGTTATAAAGTGGACATGATCATCAGCGAGTCATTAACCATTCTAATATTATTTTTCTTTTAAATGAACTTGTATGCTCGCTGCAGTTGGGGTTATTAATCCCACACTCTTCTGTTTGGATTATTTGCTTTTACTAGTGGAATGTGGAATGTCTCTTAACTCATTGCTGAAGTAGCCTGAGAAAACATGAGCCAACATAATTGCGACGCCAGCATTGGTTTCCCCACAAAATGACATCTGAGGAAAAAGTCCAGAAGTTCCATACTGGTGACTCATTGCTAACCAGATCTGGGGAAGTATGACTTAGCTCAGAATTTCAATACTGATGATGCATCAATAACCAGATCTAGGGAAAAACAGTAGCGCAGAAATTCCATCCTGATGACACATCACTAACCAGATCTGAGTAGTGCTTCTATAGTGATGCATCAAATTTAGTATGGAATTTTGGCCCCCTTTCCTCAGACACCATTTTGCTGGGAAACCAATGGTGATGTCACTAAATGTTTGCTGATTTCTCAGGTTATAGCTGAAGCAGAAGTGCACTTTCACGTAAACAACCCATTTACCCGCCACTTTTGTTTTCATGGTGGCATTTTGTCATGAAACAACCATAGCTGTGTAGGATACTCTTAATTTCTTTTCTAAGGACCCTCAACTAAAATATTGCAATGTTTTGTGTTTAAGGTGGAGTTCCTGTAGAAGCTAGTGACCCTCGCTGCACTCACCTGGTTGTAGAAGACAGTGTCAAAGAACTACCAAGTGGTTTGCTAGAGCAATCACATTGCCGGGCTGTCAAGCAAGAGGTAAGATGGAATCCTCCAGGAAATTGAGTAAATTTAATTCTCAGTGGACAAAAACCATGTACAAGAATAATTTAAAGAATATTGCATTCTTTTTAACATTTTTCAAGGCCTAAAGATGTAATTAGTCTTCTGTAATAACACCAAAGATAATTTCTCATGGGAGCCCGAGAAAATGATGGCAAATTTCACAAGAATTGTGATTACACAGGTAAAATTCTGAAAATTTCATGTGTAAGATGTAATTCTGTGAAATCTGACATTCATGTTCTTGGGCTCCCATGAGAAATTTTCTTTGGTGTTACTAAATATGATTAATAGCGCTTTCTACTAATGACGTCACAAATTTCTGGTCCCTGCTGTGACTCAGACATTAAACCTGACCAGTGTAAGAGTTTAGTATGGGAAAGTCACGTTCGGCAACAAATTTTCATCGTCTTTGAAGATGTTTATCGTTAAACGAAAAAAAAATCCACCTTGGTTTCGATAATAAATATCCTGAAAATAATCAACTCGTGCCAAGACAGCGTTAAACGTGGAAAAAACTGTACAGATGAGTGGTTTTATTCCTTATGCGGCGTCATTTTTGCGGGTAAAATTATGTTAAAATGTGTGGAGAACAGGGCTTCATAGCTATGCGTGAAACGGTGCATTTGGTTAAATTTATAGGCAAAGGTTGCTCAATTTTTTTTCGAGTGCTTATGTTACGCTATAGTACTACGGGATATAGAGTACTAAAGTATTCGTCGCGGATTCATATGGTCTACCTGGCCGCAAAACAACAGAACAAACTTATACAATTTCCAGTTTGTGCTAATATTGGTGTGCTTTTCACCTTAGATATTCTGTCACAGGCCTGCGAGAAGCACCTGCCAATTTGATTTTCTCTTTAGCAATTTCGGTTTTGGAGTATTACACAGCCAATAATGTTATGTCATGTTTCAGTGCATAGCGGTGCTTTCTGCCTAAGACACAGAGCTAGGGATCCGATTTCAGTAACCTTCTTTGATCGAGTCGCTTTATTTTCTGATTTTAACCATTTATTTGAGTTACTGGACCAGGTTTTGCTCCCAATAGCAGTAGTGCCTTTAATATATTGGAATTATGCTCAAAAAACATTTTAAAAACGCTAACTGTGAATTTTATGAACAATTTTCATGTCGGATACGTATGTTTCCCATACAAAGCCTTGGAGTAGAATGCAAAGTTTGTCTGAGTCACGCGGGGGGTCTAAGGTGACAAAACCTATTTTTAGTAATAGTATAAAGTGCTATTACATCTTTAGCCCTTGAAAAATGTAAGGAAGAATTCAATATTCTTTAAATTATTCTGGTACAAGGTTTTTGTCCACTGAAAATTAAAATTACCCAATTTCCTGGTGGATTCCGTCTTAAGCTTTAACAACATGTTACAGTTAAACCTATTTTAAGTGGCCACTCTCTGTTGAGCAGTCAGTAATCCAAGTGCTGAAATGATTGTAAAAGGGAATGGTAAATTGAACCTCTATTAAGCGGCCGCTGCCACCTTTTTGCTGTCCCAATAAGAGTTCTCCCATTGTTGTCACCTCTATTAAAATGCCATGAGGTCAGAAACCAAGCACTTGATACACTCGATTTGACTTTATTTTAAGAATATGATGAAGGAAAATACAACCAACTGTGGACCAGTCATGCTGCCTCTATTGCATGCTTGTTTCAAAATAAAGTGATGTTTCTGATAAATATTATGCTAATATATGTCGCACATCTATTGAGCAGCCAACCTCCATTAAGTTCACTTGCCGGTACTCTGAGGGTGGCTGCTTAATGCAGGTTTGATGGTAACACAATTTGTTCTTGTTATTGTCAATTTGCGTGTGGCTGACTAACTAAAATCTCAGTGAAGTAAACTAATGGTTGAAATTAACAATATCCAATTACAATCAATAATTAAATTATGATAGGAAAGCATTTCCTTCCTGATTAACTGATTATTTATTTATTTTTTCTTGTTGAAAGAGCGGTACATAGATGCATTTCAATCAGCATGAGCAGTGTCTTACCTTGTTGTTAATCATGATTTTTGTATTTTTTTTTTTCAATTTCAGTGGTTTTGGGCAAGCATTCACATGGATGCATGTGCTGATGAGTCACTGTATCACTTCACTGCTACAGTAAGTCATAGAAATTTGAACAAGACTGTACACCCGGGGGGGTAGGATAGGTCAGGGTTCCAGTGGGAGGGGGGGGTACTCAACAAATTTTTATATGTGAAGGTTCTGCCCCAAGGTCCAACCCCTTACCCTTTTTGACAGAGAAGGTTCTGGAAATTTTCCTCATACTTTTTTCACAGCCTTAAAATCCCTCTGTTAGACTTTTTAGTTTGAGGTCCTCTACAGAGCAAAATGACAGATTTCCCTACCCTTTCCAATACTTCAAGTAGTGAAATCCCTACCCTTTCATATACCTGAAAAAAAGTACCCCTTCAGGCAGAGCCTCCCCGTATTGGCTATTATAGGGAATTCCTCCCTCCAGGTCAGGGTGTGTGCTGCCCAGGATCCTAAACCTTATCCTATTTAGGGATGATAAAAAGGAAAATTGATACCCTGTTCAATACTCCTAATACTCTATTGGATACTTCAGTTTTAACTGACGATTTGCTTTCTATACAGCCAGGCAATTACACACTTGAATTTTAGCTGAAGCCTGATACAGTTATGTACATACCCTACAGCTATATCTATGGATCACACCAGGAACACAATGCCAACAAGGGCAAAAATGATACCCTAATATTAATAATAGAGAACCTCAAAAAAGCCATACCTTGTCAGGCAACACATACTAGCCTACATATGGGATTACCCCCTCCCCTTAGGCATTGTTCCAACAAAAATACCAGTAATGTTGGAAATAATTGTTAATACATTATAAAAGAAACTGATCAAAATTTATTCATTCTAAGGATCCTTATGAGCCTGCTACGATGCACAACACACCAGTCAGCAGTCGCAAGAGGAAACGTCGCAAACTTAAGGACTCAGACCTTAGTGATCTGCTATCCCCAGACTCCCCTCTTTTCCATCCAAAGCGTAAGAGCGGTGACCTGTTGTCTGTGTCTGGATCTCTTCTTGAAAATTCCTTGGTGTCACCTGCCACACCCAAAGGTACTGTATGACCTGGGCTCCTTAAAATGTACACAAACCATCGAGTTGAAAATCTTGCGCATAAAACTAAAACTATTAAATCTAACCTTGTGGAAGAGTAACCCGCTACAAAGTGTATCCAACTCAGCTGGAGAGACCAAAAAGAGAGGAGAAATGGCATCACCTCAATTCACATTTCTAAGCTTCTCAAATGGAATGGCATGTACAAACCATTTGATTTTCCAACCAGAATTTCAGGTTTTCCCATCTAAATGGCAAGTTACTCAGGGCCACATTGTTCAAAGCTGGGTTAAGATAAAGCCAGGTTAGTGCGAAATTAGAATTCAGGTATGAAAGCTTAAAAAGCAAACTCAGTTTAATTCTTTTTGCATATAATATGTTAACTGGATGCTCTATAAAGAAGATATTAGCTTGTTAGCTACTCTAAAATTCGAGTATAAATAAAGTTTTTTGTTATGTTATGTTATGGAAAATTATCCCAGAAAATGCTTTTGAACAAAATAAGACAAAACCCGCACTAAAATTTAACCCCGGGTTTGTCAAATCAGCCTTCAAACAACTGGGCCCTGGGTTCTAACCTTAACCCTTGCTCTATCCAACTGAACTTGTTTTGGAGTGTTTTGCTGGTTGATGACCAGAAAACTGCTGTAGCATCTTCAGACACTTACGGGGAATCTTGTTGTAAAGATTTCTCTTTCATGTTCATAATTATGGTCTATTTTCTCCCTCTAGAAACTCCAAGTGGAACCATCTCACCGTTGACCACACCCATAGCTCCACCCCCTAAACCTCTCACATCACGACAGCAGGTGGCCATGGAGCTGCTACAAACAGAGAGGAACTATGTGGAAATACTTACTAACATTCTAAAGGTGAATGGGACCCAATTTCACTTGTCCTTTTTATGGTCTTTTAGAGCATTAATCTTGCTAGCTCAGTTGGTAACTTACCAGACTGCAAAGCGGCAGGCCCAGGTTCAATGCCCGACCAGGCTCCGGTTGTTCAAACGTTGGACAGTGCTATTCACCGGATAAATCGCTATCCAGTGGATAAGTGTTAGAGAAATCAACAGCGTTATCCACTGAATAGAGATTTATCCGGTGGATAGCGTTATGCACCTTTCGAACACTGGGCCCAGGCAAACACTCAGAGACACACTCACCGAAAAATGCTCCCCCGGCGTCACCGCTCATTTTGGTGTGTTTAAAAATTGAGAAAAACCTCTGGGACTAGGGCCTCAGGATATTTTTACCCACTGTCGAGGTTTCTATCGATCGCTTGTTTTTTGCCTTGAGTCTTGGAAGAAGTTTGGAAAACGTATACGAACTCTGTTAATGGTAATAGTTAAGCACCTAACTTGTGACTGTTCATTGTATGTGTATATTGTAGGTGTTCAAAGAGCCGCTAGAAAAAGAACCATGCGGCGGATCCATCATCTCGCCTGAGGACATAAAGACAATCTTTGGTCGGTTACCAGGCATCCTGGAGGTTCACAATAAAATCATGGTGAGACAATTACTCAGCAACCCTTCAGAGACTCCCAGGGCTGGGTAGCCTGTGACATTCCTAACCCGAGCGCAAACGATAAGGACGCTCCTCAAACTCGCTAGTTTCGTACCTTCTGCCTTTAACTCAGTGCTCACTTAATTCAAAAGTTGATGTTTTGCACGATCGCAGTGCATCTGATCATGTTTGATTTCATTCTTTACTGCAGAATGAACTTGAAGCGCTCTTGAATGAATGGAGAGAGGATAAATGCATCGGGAATATTATTAGTAATCACGTAAGTTTGTAAATAGTCAATGCAGTGCCGGTCCGATGTTCTATCCACCACCTCTTCTAGGTGGCTACTTTTCCGAAATAACATAATTTCCCCAGTCAAATCACTATACTTCTGCTTCTCGTTCATGCAAGCGAGTCAACTTCGTTACCAGCAGGGTGCAAAGAAAATCATTTTTACAGCTTGCCATTCGGGCAAGCTGAGGCTAGCATTTACTGGCCCAGACGTCATTTCAACTAGCCCCAAAAACTTTTTGACTAGCAGAATTGATTTGAAAGTTCTTCTGTTATTTGAATTCCTCAAAACAACATCACCTGCCCATCGGGCAAGTTAAAAACAGAATTTACTAGCCCGATAGCAAAATCCACCGGCCCTGGGCTATCGGACACTACTTTCTTTGCACGCTGTACCGGGGTCCTCCCCTACTCGTCCCCTCTCTTTCCCTCCGTAGGACAACTAGTAGAAGAACACCTGAATACAGGTGTCCCTTCAATAGAGGTAACAAATACAAAGATTATGAGAACATTTTTTGGTGTCCCTTGAATGTAAGTGTCCTTTGAATAGAGGTGTCCCAAAGGAGAGGCTCCACTCTATCTTTGTTTTGAACTCCATGTATGTTTTCTGTCTTTTGACTAATGTAGGCGGATGAATTAGTTAAGGTCTATCCACCATTCGTCAACTACTTTGAGATGACAAAGGAGACTGTAGCGAGATGTGATCGAGAATTCCCAAGATTTCACGCCTTTCTCAAGGTAAATTTTCTTCCTTTTCCTTGATGAACTTTTTAGAAAACGACCTTTTCTTGCCCAGTCATTCCACTAAGCCCCCGACCCTCAAAAGTCAAGGTTTGAATTGTTACTCGAAAAAATCATTCCATGTAAACGGAGTTCTTTGAGGACAACTGTTTATCAGCAGATTGCAGAAATTTAACTCAAAGGTTCGATTTAAGATAAGTGATAAATATAAGGTGATTAAAGTCCTGGTTTAGGTCCCTTACAGTCATGGCAGTTTAGAGGAAATGACATGAATTTCCAAGAATTGATAAGCTCCCCCCATCTCATTTCAAAAACTACAGTTGACTCCCGAAAACTGGAACCCTTGCTAACTCGAACCAAAATCCATTTCCCCTTGATTTCCTTCATACGTTTACGTTAGTTTTACCCTCGGTAACACGAACCTCCCGCTGACTCGAAGTAATTTTTGTTTCCCCTCAAATCATTTCTATTCATTTTTACCCCTGTTAACTCGAACCGTGTTTTGAGCGCTTAAAAAGTCGGGAAAAACAGTGTACTGGCGTCCGAAATATTCAATTTTGAATTTCCCATTGACGTGTTGTAGGCTATAGTTTACCAGTGGAGGCTGATGTTGAACAGGTTTACTTCTCAAAACAGTAAAACGGATGCTCTATTTAGGTTATATTTTGTTACGTTACGTATTGATTTATAACCTAGTAGTATCTATCAATTTTCACTTAACATTTCTACAAGTAAATGTGATTAAAATGTTCACTGTACGGTAAAAACTGTTTTTTTTTCTTACTTCCGGCTATTTTCTTCGAGCTCCCGATAACTCGAACTTTTTTCTATTTCCCTTGAAGGTTCGAGTTATGGGGAGTCGACTCACTGTATAGGAAAAAGAAGCTTAACCCCCCTCCCCCCAACCCTTGGAGCTTATTTGAGGGATTACCGTTGAACACGTAGGTCTCCTCAGGAGAACAAGGACTGATAAAAATTGTAGATGCTCTCGTTGTTTAACCGCTTTTCCGTTTTCTGCAACACCAGAGCTTGATACAAAACGGGAATCCCGTCATCCCGATCAAAACGTTCGCTCAATCCCGTAATCCCGATGGTTATTTTCTGGATCCTGCATCTCCTTTATTCTTTAAATCCCGAGATCTTGCCCCCATTTTGCTTTAAAACCCCGATTCCCCGCCTTTCTTATAACGCGAATCCGAATCCCGAAAACATACTGGGGACCCTCGTAATATAACACTCATTCGCAATTCTTTTGAAATTGATCATCTTTTAACTAGGCATGTCTAAGCAGACCAGAATGCGGAAGACAGAGCTTGGCCGAACTACTGATCAGACCTGTACAAAGACTTCCAAGCATGAATCTTCTTCTTTCAGGTTTGCATTGCTCTTGGTACAAATTAAACTAGAACCAACCTACTTCTTTTAGGTCTGCCTTTGCACTTGTACCAATTATGGACCTTTAGATTGTAGGACGAGGTCGACTACGAGAACAGATTTTCTCAGTACTAATTAGCGCGCGCTCGCGAACCAGCGTCATTTTGGCGGGAAAACGTGATAGCCGTCGTAAGTCTACTACGGGTGCTCGCGAAATGTCGTAGTGACGGGAAAAAGTTATCAAATTTAAGAAGTTAAATCACTTTGTCATCTGGAGAGGGCTTAACCTCCTTCAACAAAAATAATTGTACTACCTTTTCTGGCGAAAAAAAAAGTACATTGAAGCTTTCCCGTGTGTCTATTTTTTGAGAATACGCGCAATAAACCTTAACTCAAATCTCGTCCTCGAATTTAAAGGTCTCTATTATACATGATCCAACATTGCAGCCCAAAACACCAGGGCCCAGTTGTTCGAAGGCCGATTAGCGCTTAACCCGGGTTTCTTTTTCTTGTGTCCAAAAGAATTTTCTCGGATAATTTTCTCTGTTATTTTTAGAGCGTCTAATCATCAACTTGTAGACAAAAAGAATTAAAACTGAAATTTTTTTAAGCTTTCAGATCCGAATTCAAATCTCATACTAACCCTGGGTTATCTTAACACAGCTTTGAACAACTCGGCCCAGTATGAAAACCTGACAATACCGGTCGAGTATTGAAAGGCGCCTGAGATATGAAATAATTCTTGGAAATATTTAAAGCGAAATATGTCCTAATGTTTTCGCTAATTACGGCGTTAAATCCAAATTACTGTCACGTTTATTTGTCGTCGTGAGTTTGAGAAGGTTAACTAATGGCTGTTAGATTTTGCTTTGACATTGTTTCACAAATCTCTCTCTCACACAGATCTTCTGAAGCACACAGACAAGAAAAATCCCGACCACACGGCTCTTGGCCTGGCGGTGGACTCACTCAAGAACGTTATGACGTAAGGCGCCATTTTCTTGTGCTATTTTTAATATTTGCAGGCCTGCAAATAATTTTTCTTTTTATAAAGGACATACCTTCATGAGGGTCACCGTTTTAGTCCGCGGACAAACCGAAACTTTTGTTGGACATACATTATGTCAACTTTTAATTTCTGTAAAGGCCCACGTTCGATATATTCTAATTCTAACATGACTCCGATGCTTTCTGGTCATTTTTCTATATTTGGTTTGGTTTTCTTTGTCCTCAATCCTCTTCTGGGAATTGCAATTTTGACCCTAAAGCCTCGGAGTCATGTTAGAATTTTAATAACGAACGTGGGCTATTCCCATGAAATTTTCAGCTACAAAATGAGATGTGGAGGATTTCGTCGGACGTGGACAACTTAAGTTATTGTACCCTGTCCAATCTCGGCGTTGCCAGACAATCCATTGAACCAATGAGAGGTCGCAGCGAATACCCGTGGCTGGCAAAAAGCGCGGGAAAATATTAGAGTGTGATTGGGTGTTTAATAACCACTTACCAAGCGCAAGCACAGTGGTAAAAAGCCAAAGAAAAGCCGATATTTTAATATCTGATTGTACCTTTCTGCATTTAAGACGTTACTCATTTTTTCTGTTTGCCATTTCTTCCTTCAGTCACATAAATGAAGACAAAAGGAAAACAGAAGGGCAGGTTCAAATGTTCGAGATTCTGAGAGACGTTGATGGATGCCCTGTAAGTATTTTTGGCCAGAAACCGGTCTTTTCGATACAAAGTCGTTTTGATGCCAGTCATTTCGATACAAAGTCGTTTCGTAACGAGTCATTTCGAAACAAAGTCGTTTTGATACAAGTTATTTCGATACAAAGTCGTTTCGTTACAAGCCGACTCGATAGGGATTTAAACAATGAAACTGCACAACAATTGCTATCACTTAAAGGGCCTATGTCACGCTATTTGCTTTATTTTTAAAAGGCTAACACTTTCCTCGCATCAAGTGAATTTCAAAAATAATGGCCCAGTTTTGTTATTTAAGACTATGTTTAGGTATTAAAACTGTTTCCTGTCGTCTCTTGCCAAGGATGGACACAGATTGAGACTTGAAAAAGTTGGGCCACTCTTTTCAAGTTTTAATGTAATGCCTGATGAAATTTTCCCAATTACTGTACATCTACCTTGTATGAGTAAAAGCAATAAGAAATGACTTCAAGGCAGCAATATCCTCGTGACGTAGCCCCTTAACCCTTTAAACCCTGAGATCAAAATTTGAATTCTCATTCGTTGCCCTTATTCATTTCCTACCGAAGTAGTGGGAAGAAGTTGATAAAATATTAAGCAAGTTCATCTTGTGTGATCATGTCCGTAATTCTCATGACCACTCTGTTTTACAAAGAATTGATATTAGAAGGAGAAATTTGATGCTGATCACTCTTAGGGCTTAAAGGGTTAAAAGTATAGTTAGCGCGTAAGCAAGAAAAGCAATGGGGTGAATATTCTTCGCTCTAAGGAAGCCAAGTTCGTAAAACTGTTTACACCTCGAGTGAAACAACTTTTATCGAAACGATTTGTATCGAAACGAGTTTGTTGCCCATGGAGATGCAATCGTTAGATGAATCTATTGTATAGCAAGTGTTCAGGTGACCTCCGTCTCCGTCATCGTATCTTATTTCTCCTCACCCAACCTCTAAGGATGTTCCGATACTCAGGTTATACTATTTACCGCTTCTGTTCGTAGGCATATGTTCTATCATCGCATCGTGTTTATGTAACAAAAGTTGACACGTTTGAGTTGAGTGACACGATCTGCGGCAAAGGAGAGGCTGTGACCATATTCCTGTTCAGTGACAGCATGGAGGTGCGGATAAATCAATTGGTTAAATTCGCTTTTGATCACATACCTTATTTACTCGAATAAGTGCTTAATCAATTTTCACGCCTTAAGTGAGGCGCTTATTCGGGGGCCGTGTTTATTTGAAAGTTTTACGTGATGAAGAATTGTATTATTAAACTTCGGTATTATTATTTTCCGTATTAAACTGACAGAATTAACGCCTTCTGATTTTGATTATATCACGACCGCGGCACTTATTTTAAAACTTCTTTCTTCCAAATGCGGCGCTTATTCGAGTAAACACAGAGAACAGGACCAACAGTGCATTTACCACGGTATTTTCTAACGCAGTCTGCGTTTTCTCTGGTTTTGTGTTACAAAGCCTTGCGAAATGGGTATAAAAAAATCTCTCCTCTTTGTTAACCAACCAATAGCCTCCCACGCAGACGTTTTTAGGAATTCGTCACGCGTTCCTTACCACACGTCGCTGACACGTTAGGGGAGGATTTCGTGACGAGTCAAAGGAACGTCTGCTTGGGTGGAGTGGCTATACATCGCATTTTGTTGTTTAGTTTGTTGCACAGCTCAAAGAGTGAACTTAGTATGTTTTGGTTTACAATGCCTCACTGGGTATCCCTTTGAATTTGTCACTTCTTACTTTCTTCCTTCCTTTCTTTTTTATCCTTTTTTTTTCTTTGGTAGGTAACAAAACGACGAGGCTTAAAAATGATGAATAACGTTCCTTTACCCATGAAAAGTCCGGCAGCTCGCACACCACAAAAGGCGTATAAGCACGTGAAATTCATGCCGCTGTCACATGTCAGACGCGTGGTGGACATCCGGGATAATGAAGGTATGTAGTGCATTGTGTATTATGTGTTAGTAGACAGAGTGTGAGAGACTGCGAAAAAAGGGCAAGTCATGGAACCAGTCACTACACACTCCTGTATACAGCTGTACACCTATTTTTTCGTGAGTTTTTGCAAGCGACAAGGTTGTTTTGCGCGCCCACTTGCACTTTGATTTGTTTCTCATTCGACATTCTAGTATAAAAACGTAGACGCGCCGCACGAGCATTCGTCGGTGCTAAACCCGATGTTTTGTAACCAAGTAACTAGGAGTATTACTTGTTTTGCTCTTCATTTGTACACCTGGCCCGGGTTGCTCGAAGCATGGTTAGTGCTAACCAGCGTTAAATACCATGGTGGAAACCTATACATTTCGATACCTCTTAACCAACGGTTAGCGCTAACCAGGCTTCGAGCAACCGGCCCCTGGCCGCGGTTATTCAAAAGCTGGATAGCGCTATCGACCGGATACATCACTACATGTATTACTATCCAGCGGCTAAGTATTTGGAAAACCAATTGTGTTATACGCTAGATAGTGATTCAGCCAGTGGATAGCACTACGACATTCTCGCTAAAACCCGACGACTATCACGTTATACCGCTAAAATGACGCTGGTTTACGCGCGGGCACTACTTAGTATTAGAGACTTTAAGATCCAACGACGCGGACGGCAACGAGAACGTAAAAAACCCCAATAGCTTTGATTAGCAAAACAACAACTTTGCACGTGCACCATGCTTTTTTGTACATTTCTCCGCCCGTTTTGCACGACTACGACGTGAACATGCCTAATTTCGCGTTTTACCAAGGACGTAAACAAGCAACGACGAAATTTTATTTCTCTTACTGTACTTGGATATGGTACCTAGGAATTCAGCTCCAGGAGGGTTCGCCTACATTCGACAAAGTAAGTGGGTAGGAATAATTGCGATAAAGACTGAAAGAACGTAAATTCACTTTTTAAGCGACGTTCTCATTACCGTCGCGTCGTTGGATCTTAAAGTCCCTATTGAGTTAATCTCGACGACGACGATAATGTTAATGACGATGATGATGACGGTGCTATTTTCTTTTTCCAACTGAAATTGACTTGTAGTAATTCATGGATTTTCTTTTGTATTGATCGCCGTTGTTTGTTTTTTTGCCCCTACAGATTGTCAAAATTTGTTTGGAATCATCTACCGCTGCCCCCAGGAAATGAAAGAGAAATTGTTGATGTTTAGACTCGTAGGCGATGAGATAAACAAACAGGAATGGCTGCAAAAACTTACCACTGGACTGGCTAATACAGCGTGCACGGCTGATACGGTATGTACTGTGTTTACCCCTCTCACAGTAACAGCACGAAATACCATTCTGATTCGCCACTTTTGAAACGAGAAGGGGATTGGGGCAGAAACACGTCTCGCAATTGATTCTGGGATCGTTACTGGGGACGCGCCGGTCAGCTATTGGAGTTCAAGATCCAACGACGAACGGCAACGAGAACGTCGCTTAAAAAGTGAATTTGCGTTCCTTCGGTCTTTATAGCGATTATTCCTACCCACTTTGTCAAATGTGGGCGAACCCTCCTGAAGCTGAATTTCAAGGCCAAGGACCATGTCGAAGCTCACAAAGAGAAATAAAATTTCGTCGTTGCTTGTTTACGTTCTCCATAAAACGCAAAAGTAGGCATTTTCACGTTGTGGTCGTGCAAAAACAGGGGAAAAAATGTACAAAAAAGCGTGATACACGTGCGAAGTTGTTGTTTTTCCTTATTAAACCAATTTTTTTTTACGTTTTCGTTGCCGTCCGCGTCGTTGGATCTTGAAGTTCCTATTAGGGTGCTTAAGCAACAACGACTGCGATAGCTACGAAAACGTCACTGAAAAAAAATAGTTCGCGCTGCCTCAAACTTTATCGCGCTTATTCCATCTCGTTTAATTCGTCAAATGTTGGCAATTCTTTTTGCAGTTGAATTCTAAAGAACTGTATCAACGTTCAGGAAAAGAAAAAGACAGTTGTTGTCGTATGTTCCTGCCCGCAATAAAACGTCAAATTGGGTACTTTCACGTCGTAGTCGTGCGACGAAGGCTAAGAAATGGCTAAGAAATGTACAAAAAAGCGTGATGCTCGTGCAAAGTTGTTGTTTGGCCAATCTAGACCTATTGCATTTTTGCCGTTCTCATTGTTGTCGCCGTCGCTGTTGCTCAAGTTCCCTATTGACCAATTTTCCCCCCTCTCCTTAGTAACAGTCCCACAAGTCTTTGCGAAAGTTTTCTCGTCCCAGTTTCCCACTCGTTTTTAAAGAGGCGAATGTGAATCAAAGGCGAAAGTACCACGCCCAAATATAAACTTATCTTTCTCGCGCGTTTTGCTGGACACCAGAGTTTGTGTCTGTTGAACTGAGTTACTAAGTAAGTAAAAAAAAATCACCCAAGACAAAAGTTTTGAAAATTTGCGAAATTGATAGTTACTGGGGTCATGGTAAACGGGAAAAGACCATAGAAAAAGTCACAGAATTTAAGGAGTCCAAAAGACCACGAAACCTGCTCTTTGACGGTTATCTTTGATTGTAAAAAAGTGTTAAAGTGTTTAAAATTAATACAAAAAATCGTGACATAGCTTCTTAAAGGTACTCTTGAAGGTCTCACCGTGCGGGAACGTCAGTTGACGACGACGCGCGCAAATCAAACAACTGGCTTGACCAATGGCAGAACAGCAAATTGGGCACCGGAAGTCGCGTTAAGTCCTTTCTGTGCGCCTTAACGTCGTCAAATGACGTTTCCGTTCTGTTGCTAAATCAGCCTAATGGGGATCGGGAAAATGAAAACATGGGAACAAAGCAAAGACAGACTTGACGAATGGCAGAGCAGCAAATTGAGCACCGGAAGTCGTGTTGAGTCCTTTCTGCGCGCTTTCTCGTCGTCAACTGACGTTCTCGTCCTGTTGCTAAATCAGCCTAATATCGTTACTTTTCAGGAAAACTTTCTGACCACAGTCGACCCACAGGAATTGATGTTGAGCAAAAGCGACATGTCAAACGGAACTCTCAGTCGCGCTGTCAGGTAAAGACTGAGTGCGCTTTTTTCAAGGAGGATCTTGCATACCGCTCCCCGCGCCGTCCCTTTCTTTACTTTTATCAGTATCCTTGGTTAGAGCGTGCAATTCTTGTACTACTCTGAGATAACAAGGAGTTAAACAGATCTCCCCTCTAATAAGCCCCTTTTCAGGGGAAGAAAATTAATAAGCTCCCCACCCTCCCCTCCCCTAATTATTCTTTACTAATAAATGCGAGCCTGTATTAATCAATCGTGACTGTAAAACCTGGTGTAGACTGATCCAGGATGGCTTATTTACCAACTGAAAGTTCGGATTTGATTCTGGTCCTCGGCTGCATGACCTTTAACCTTATTGTACCTGAACTGATTCCACCGTCTTTTTAAATTAAATAAGTCCCCCTCTCAAATAAGCCCCCCCCCCCCCTTAAATGGGCTTGAAATAAATAAGCCCCCTGGGGGGGGGGCTTAAGAAAATCTCCACATTTGATTTAAAGATTATCACTAGAGAAAAGAATCGGTTGTGAGTTTAAACACCGCATTAACGTCAAACCACAGAGATGGCCACTTGACCAACTTTTGCTCCGTATATTACGCTTGTTGACAATTTCGTCTCCGAGGTCCTTTCTCTCAAAATCGAGGGGCGCTTGTTGTTGTTTTCAACGTGAAGAGGATTATTTTCACGTTCATGGGTAAGATTTTTTCTCATTGCTCTTGGAGACATTGGCAATCGTATGATCATCTCTACAGTTTTCTGCATACCGGAATTGCTTAACCTCTTCAAGGAACACTTGTCACTTGAATGGCCAGGTGTTAAGTTCTCTCATTTCTCTTAACACAGGGTCGCGAAGAGAACAACAAGAAAAGTCAGCAGGGCTTTATCCATGAACAAGACTCCGAAAAAAGCTGGACTTCTTCGAAGGACGACTTCCAGGTATTTAGCGTGTTTTATTCCAAACTAGAGTAACAGGTTTGCTAAAAAGTTTTTTTCGCAAACTGGGGCAAAGGTTTTGAAAAACAGGCTTTCCCGCTGCACTTTCCATTCAGCCAAAATATCCGTTTCAGACGAATGAAATGCAAAAGAAACTCTCGCTTCAATTGAACATTTTTGTTGATTTTACCCTAGTTGAAATTATTTGGCAGACGTCCTAGCATTTTCGTTGATAGCTCAGTTGCACCTAAGAAGAAATTTATTTTCTGGTAGTAAAAGGCAATAAGTTATATTTTGGTGTCCATTCAATTTTTGCTGTAAGTTTTAACTCCTCCTTTTTTGCCTTCCTTGCGTAGTCCCTAGGCCTATGCGTTTCTGGTAACGTGGTCCGAGTGTTTTTCAGGCCTTTCGTCTCGGATACGGCAGTCACCGAAGTGCATTAACCGAGAAGGCCTGGGGAGATGCCGTACAGTAGACTAGGCAATACAGAGGTTAAGAATCACGTTTACGTCAAACGGCAAACGCGAATTTGTACCACGTGACCAAGTTTCCCCGTTACATGTAGTTTACTGTTCATTATTTCTACACATATATTAGTAGTTTCACGAAATTTTTTATCCATGAGAATCGTCTTGAGCTGTTTCATCTGCTCATTTTCTATTTTGAGAAATTTGCCGTATACGCGAAGCTTAAACTCTCTAGTGGCTTTCCTACATCTTGTTTGCGAAAGAAGCTATTTCGATGAAGATCTTTTCTTTTAGCAACAATGATTTTTTCCCTCTCTGTTTTTTATAGTGTTTCGCCAGGTATTCGTCGAGTTCCTAGTGCCAGCCCTCTTGTGCCCTCCAGTCGTATTAATCAAGGCTTCCTCAAAGGGACCAGGCCGAGATCAACAAGTGTCCCAGGAGCAGAGCCTATGAGCCCGTAAGGAATTAGTCAGCGTCATTCTCAAGCCGCGGAAAAAGTTGGTGCTCTGTTTTGTTATTGATCACGTGACATTATCTTTACAATCCTACATTTTGGCGGGAGACTGCACCGAAGAAGTTTGGATGTCAGAGAGGGCTGCAATGGCTTTCTTGACGTTTTTTAATGGGACTCAAGAATTTGAAATAAAATACAGCTTTTGCTTTGGAAAATTCCAGTAAAAATGAAGGCAACTTTGCGCGACTTTTAAAAATGTCATGGCAACTTCGTTAAGTTGCAACAGGCTGCGGGAGATTATTAAGCCAATTAACTCTATTACTCCAATCACTGGATAATCTTGAAATTCATGGAATTTTATTTGGATAAATTACTTAAAATCAAATATTATCACATGCAAGTATTATACTAAACTAGCAGGCACATCAGGAATATAGGAGACGAGTAATTATAAGGAGACTTCGCATTGTACTAGTACTTCGGTTGTTTTGGGGATTGCCTTCTTTTTTCAGAGGTTCGGAGCAAGAAATCGTAGTTTAAAAATAAGAGAGATTCAGAGTTTTAGATTGAAGAAAATATACCTACATATACTGAGCAATTCTGTAAATATGTGTTTAAAAAAGGCGTTAATTATACATGATAATAAATCACACTTTGCGGGAGCAGGTTTTGTGGTAAATAATTTTTAACCCCTAAAATAAATGAAAGATGCTGTTTTCGGCGTTATCGCTTATCATCATGCTTTACACGATTATGGTTTCACCGAGGAAAAAACATCAAAAATGCAGTGAAAGTCGCGTTAAGCCACATTTCTGTTTACTCCAAGGGGGGTCCTCCAACAGCGGGCTCTCCGCTGACCATGTGACCGTCACGTGCCCTGTAACATTGCCCGTCTTTGCACACTGGGTAATCCGCTGGGCAGCAGTAAGTCGGCACCGCTGGCGGGGGTGGGCAGCAGACTTTGTATTGTTGCCTGCAGCATCTGTTGTGCTCGCAGCAGTTCGCGTGAGGAAACGGGCAACACAGTTTCTCATCAAACGTCTTTCCCTTGATTGTCAATGTTGCTGTAGAAAAACAAGCAGGGTTGTTTAAAAAAAATAATTGATGGAAGTTATTATTTGTTAGAATAAACAAAATCTCATTTCGCTTTTTGTGACTATAACAGCCTGTAAAAGAGCCATACTTTTTTGAAAGTGAGCTTCCTCCCCTGCGCACTTTCGTTCCTTGTTTCGTATTTTCAGTTCAGTCTGGTACCAAGTCTTCTTCACTGCGATTCATTTAAAGGGCCTATGTGACGAGAATATTAGCGACTTTAAGATGCTACGACGGCGACGACAACAAGAACGTCAAAAAAGCAGTAGGTTGAACAGGCAAAACAACAACTCTGCACGTGCATCACGCTTTTTTGTACATTTCTCTGCCGTCACTACACGACTACGAAGGGGAAATGCCTAATTTCACGTTTTATGGAGGACGAAAACAAGGGACGGCTAAATTTTCTTTCTCTTTCTGAACTTGAATATGGTTCCTAGGAATTCGGCTCAAAAAGAGTTCGCTTGCATTTGACAAAGTAAATGAGTTGCAGTAATCGCGATAGAGATTGAAAGAATTTTAGCTTCCGCTTATTCTTGGAACTCATAACTGTCGCTTCAATACCGCGGTCTTCGCCAGCTTTACTTAAGCACCTGTAATTTTGAGTCTGTGAAAGGCTTTTCAATACAAAAAGAGTTTTTATCTTATATGAAGATGTGACTATTCCAATAACTGAACTAAAGCCATACTCAGATGTTCATTTTGTCCAATTTGCCCTTTCCAAAAAAAAAACAATTTAAATTGCTTTACTTTCTTACAGAAAACGTTCATTTTCTATGGTCACACCATAAGGCGTTCTCTATAAACCTAAAACGAAAATGAACTACGTACTGAATTAAAAGCACCATGTGAAAGTTCTGCTGAAGAGGTTTCATTTAAAAGACTTAAATTGCCACACCATACGATTTCCTCCTCAGAATAAAAATTTAGAACTACATGTACGTATTGGGGAAATAGTGAAAGTACTGCTGAAGAGGTTTCACTTGAATGGTCACACAACAGGATGTCATCCATAGACTCAATAGTTAGAACTACATACTAAATAAATAGTACCATGTGAAAGTACTGCTGAAGAGGTTCGTTTGGATGGTCACACTAAAGGATTTTATCCACGCAAGTAAACCTAAGTAGGAAGGAAGTAAACCGGAAGTAGGAGGATAATTTCACTTAACTTCTGCAGTTTGTTTTACCTTTGCAGCAGGTCTGCTGTGCTTCGCTTGCGCAGCAAGATGACCCCTGAGCATCGCAAGGTTGAGGGTACGGTGCAGAGCAACCACATCCCTCTCTAACAACACCAGCGTCTTCCATGCATCGGTTGTGTGCCTGCTGCATGCACCATTTCGATACCGTGAGGTCATCTCCGGCTGCCTTCCAATACTGACGCGTTACAAGGTATGCAAACGTGGTGAAATTAGCAAAACCAGGTCCACCGAGAGTGAAAGACATGTCAACCATAACATTCTGAACGGGACAGCAAAGGCTGTCGAAGGTGGCGATAACCTTCCGGGCATCTGCTATTGCCGTCTTCAAACTGATGCCCAGCAGATCTTCGATTTGCTCTTCAGTGAGGCAAGGAACAGACGAACAGTTGCAAGGAACATTCCATTTGGTCACCGGTCCGTTTTCAAACTTTTTGTAATCAGCTCCAATCTCTTTAAAAACCTCTGGTGCGTCCTTGTTCTGCATGTTGTATCCAACGCCAATGGTCTTGATGCCTTTTGTGTCAAGATACACGCAGGCCTTTTTGCCTTCATGCCTTGTGATCAAAGGCTTTGGATCGCATTGCCGGGCTAGACAGCTATGGAAGAAAATAGCCAATTCAAAAATAATGAGAAGAATTTTTACTTTGAACTCCATATTTCTGCTTCGCCCCTCTGATTAGAAACTGAAAGTTACCTGTGTAACAAGATATTTTATAGTGCATTTAATTAATGTCACGTGAGGGGTTGAAAAATGACACCTTTTATTTGCTGTTGAAGCGGGTACTCGTTCTTTCCGGGTTCCTGCCTTAGCAAGGCTTCACCGCCACGATTTGTCTTTGAAACTGGGTTTAGACCATCCTCCACCTAAAGCCCTCTGCTTCGAGACTGATATCTGCTGTTTACACTGGAAGTCGCGTTCAGTCCTTTCCAAGCGCTTTCCTGTCGTCAAATGACGTTTCCGTTCTGTTGCTAAATCAGCCTAATGGGGAGCGGGAAAATGAAAAATGGGAACAAAGCAAAGAATTGGAAATGAAGTCACTGTCAGGGCAAGGGTTCGAGTTAGGTTTTGTTCCCATTTTTATTTTTCCTGTCCCCGCTGCCTTTCCCCCTTTCCCATACCGACTGAAAGCACAGGCGAGACAACACGACCTTTAAATTCAGCCAAATTAGGTAATTACAAAATGCCCGTTAAATTAAGAGAAACGTGAAAATAACCGCTTAACACATTAAATGAAGGTTAAAATAACACAACAGATACAAAAGATGCCACGGATGGGCGAAACTGAAGAAGATTGAAACGGATTGAAATTAGGGTTTTTGAAAACCGTTCAGCTTAACAGTTTTTCAAAGTTGATCTCTGCTGTTTGCAACTTCAAAAATAATGCTCAGGAGACGTTTTTTGGTCTCGAATCTCTGATTTTGTCATTTTCATGTAATTTCTTTGCTTACTTTAGGTTGCATAGCGATTGAGGGCGAGTAATTGGCAAAATGTAACAAAATGAACTGGACTGCCGTGACACAGCCCCTTAAATTTTTGGTGACAAAATATCGTTACTTTTCAGGAAAACTTTCTGACCACAGTCGACCCACAGGAATTGATGTTAAGGTGGCTCGACTGGATTTTATTTGAGGGGATACCTCCCAAGTTTGAGTATTAATTACGTCGCCATGAGTAAAGATATGGAAAAAAGGTTTCCACAAGTGTATTATATAAAGATGAAAATTTCTTATGATCTGGGTTTTAGTGCAATCGGAGTCGCCATGGCAACGTAACGACGCCATTTGGTTTTTTATTTATCTTTGTGTTTCTCTTCACCAGGAGTTTTTTTAAGAAATCACTTAAGGGAGTTTTTACCTGCCATAATTGCCTCAATTATTGCAAAGTTTGAACAAATTCTATGAGAGCGTTTTCGAAATATTTTGAAACGAAGTTTTAAGCTATCCACACAATTAGCAAATTTTAAAGAAAACGATAAGCTTTGGAAACGCGGCTTCATCTCATAGTGGTTTGATTCCATTGAAAACTGCGTACAAGAACAGAGGGGAATTGCTCTGGGCGATCGCGAGTAAGAAGAATTTTATTAACTTGCATTCAGCTGCTTTTGTTACAGTTTTTGCATGTGATTTGGTCCACGTCTACAAATTTCGCATTTTCCAAAAAACCGCCACCTTAAGCAAAAGCGACATGTCAAACGGAACTCTCAGTCGCGCTGTCAGGTAAAGACTGAGTACGTTTTTGTCAAGTAGGATTGTTGAATACTGCTCCCCCTTTCTTTACTTGTATCAGTTCCTTGGTTAGAACATGCAACTCTTGTACTACTCTGAGATAACTAAGTGCTGAACAGATCTTTGAAAAACACTACCAGTTAATATCATTTATCAGAATCAAATTGTAAGAAAATCTCCACATTTGATTCAAGAATTACCACTAGAGAAAAGAATTAGTTGTGAGTTTGAACACCGCATTAACGGCAAACCACAGAGATGGCCACGTGACCATTTTTCGCTCCGTATTCGTTTCCGGGGTCCTCTCTCTCAAAATCGAGGGGGTTTCTAGTTGTTGTTTTCAACGTGAAGGGATTATTTTCACGCTCATGGGTGAGATTTCTTCCCATCGTTCTCGGAGACATTGGCAATCGTAAGATCACCTCTACCGTTTTCTGTATACCAGAATTGCTTAAGAACACTTGTGACTTGAATGGCCAGGTGTTAAGTTTTCTCATTTCTCTCAACACAGGGTCGCGAAAAGAACAACAAGAAAAGTTAGAAGGGCTTTATCTATGAATAAGACTCCGAAAAAAGCTGAAGGTCTTCGACGGACGACTTCCAGGTATTTAGCATGTTTTATCCCAAACTAGAGTAACAGGTTTGATAAAAGGTTTTTTTTTTCGCAAAACTGGGCCAACGGTTTTGAAAACCAGGCTTTCCCGCTGCACTTTCCATTCAGCCAAAATATCCGTTTCAGACGAATGAAATGTAAAAGAAACTCTTGCTTCAACTGAACATTTTTGTTGATTTTACCCTATTTGAAATTATTTGGCAGACGTCCTAGCGTTTTCGTTGATAGCTCAGTTGCTTCTAAGAGAAATTTATTTTCTGGTAGTAAAAGGCAATAAGTTATATTCTGGTTTCCATTCAATTTTTGCTGTTTTACTCCTCCTTTGTTGCCTTCCTTGCCTAGTCCCTAGGCCTATGCGTTTCTGGTAACGTGGTCCGGGCGAGTGTTTTTCAGGCCTTTCGTCTCGGATACGTCAGTCACCGAAGTGCATTAACCGAGAAGGCCTGGGGAGACGCCGTACAGTAGACTAGGGAATACAGAGGTTAAGCATCACGTTTACGTCAAACGGCAAACGCGAATTTGTACCACGTGACCAAGTGTCCCTGTTACATGTAATTTACTGTTCATTATTTCTACGCATAATTTAGTAGTTTCACCCAATTTTTTATCTATAAGAATTGTTTTGGGCTGTTTTTATCTGCTCATTTTCTATTTTGAGAAATTTGCGGTATACGTGGAGCTTAAACTCTCTAGTGGCTTTCCTACATCTTGTTTCCGAAAGAAGCTATTTCGATAAGGATCTCTTTTTTTAGCAACAATAATTTTTTTCGTCTCTGTGTTATAGTGTTTCGCCAGGTATTCGTCGAGTTCCTAGTGCCAGCCCTCTTGTGCCCTCCAGTCGTATTAATCAAGGCTGCCTCAAAGGGACCAGGCCGAGATCAACAAGTGTCCCAGGAGCAGAGCCTATGAGCCCGTAAGGAATTAGTCAGCGTCATTCTCAAGCCGCGGAAAAAGTTGGTGCTCTGTTTTGTTATTGATCACCTGACATTATCTTTACAATCCTACATTTTGGCGGGAAACTGCGCCGAAGAGGTTTGGATGTCAGAGAGGGCTGCAATGGCTTTCTTGACGTTTTTTAATGGGGCGGCAGCCCGAGAAGAAAAAAAGACTCCCCCATCTCGCGCCTTCAGTCACGCGCGTGGTCATTTGCGTGTCTTGGGCATTTTGCTCGACGGACCAAGAAAAAAGAGAGACTGCTCGTAGTCTACATGTCTGTTTACTCTAAGGGGGATCCTCCAACAGCGGGTTCTCCGCTGACCATGTGACCGTCACGTGCCCTGTAACATTGCCCGTCCTTGCACACTGGGTAATCCGCTGGGCAGCAGTAAGTGGGCACCGCTGGCGGGGGTGGGCAGCAGACTTTGTATTGTTGCCTGCAGCATTTGTTGTGCTCGCAGCAGTTCGCTTGAGGAAACGGGCAACACAGTTTCTCATCAAACGTCTTTCCCTTGAATGTCAATGTACCTGTAGAAAAACAAGCAGGGTTGTTTAAAAAAATAAATGAAAGAAGTTTTTATTTCTTAGAATAAGCAGATTTCGTTTTTTGTGACTATAACAGCCTGTAAAAGAGCCATGATTTTAATGGGATGAGGGAAAGTGAGCTTCCTCTCCTGCGCACATTCGTCCCTTGTTTCGTATTTTCAGTCCAGTTTGGTACCCAGTCCTCTTTACAGCGATTCATTTAAAGGGCCTATGTGACGAGAATATGAGCGACTTTAAGATGCTACGACGGCGACGACAACGAGAACGTGAAAAAAGCAATAGGTTGAATAAGGCAAAACAGCAACTCTGCACGTGCATCACGCTTTTTTGTTCATTTCTTCGCCGTCACTGTGCGACTATTACGACGGGAAAATGCATAATTTCACGTTTTATGGAGGACGTAAACAGGCGACGGCTAAATTTTCTTTCTCTTTCTGATCTTGAATGTGGTTCTTAGGAATTCCGCTCAAAAAGAGTTCGCTTGCATTTGACAAAGTAAATGAGTTGGAGTAATCGCGATAAAGATTGAAAAAACGCGATTTCACTTTTTAAGCGAAGTTTCCGCCGCCGTCGCCGTCTTAGGATCTTAAAGCTCTCTATTACTGTTTGAGGTCAATTCTGTCTTAAAATCGATCATTTTACGTTTCTGGGAAACTGCCCACCTACCCCTCCCCTAGGCCAGCATTTTGCCCGAAGTGAGAAGTTAATGTTGGCTTAGGGGAGGGGTAGGTGGGCAGTTTGCCAGAAACGTAAAATGATCCCTAAAATCATTGCTCAGTGCCTTTACTCATACTCAAAATGCTCCTGTAGAGTTATGAAGAATACATTAAACAAATTTTATCGGGGAACAATAACCATAATAATTTTCTGGTGATTATTGCGGGCATAGCCGGCATTGAAACTTGAAAAGTTGCTGTAACGTTTGCAAGTTTCAATCCATTGCCATCCTTGCCATCTGTCGCAACAGAACACAGGAAACAGTTCCAGTGCTTAAATATAGTACAAAACTGCACCATTATTTTTGAAATTCCATTGATGTGAAGACAGGTTCTAGCTTTTAAAACAGATGGCAATAAAATCTGTAGAGGATCACTCATCATTTTAATGGTCACACAATACGATTTCATCCACAGACTCAAACTTTAGTACTACATACTAAATAAGTAGTACCATGTCAAAGAACTGGTGAAGAGGTTTCATTTGAATGGTCACACTAAAAGATTTTGTCCACGCACTAAAGAGTTAGAGGGTAATCTAAATTCCACAACTTGATAATGGACTTGGAGTAAACCGGAAGTAGCAGGATAATTTTACTTAACTTCTGCAGTTTGTTTTACCTTTGCAGCAGGTCTGCTGTGCTTCGCTTGCGCAGCAAGATGACCCTTGAGCATCGCAAGGTTGAGGGTACGGTGCAGAGCAACCACATCCCTCTCTAACAATACCAGCGTCTTCCATGCATCGGGAGGTTGCCTGCTGCATGCACCATTTCGATACCGTCAGGTCATCTCCGGCTGCCTTCCAATACTGACGCGTTACAAGGTATGCAAACGTGGTGAACTGAGCAAAACCAGGTCCACCGAGAGTGAAAGACATGTCAACCATAACATTCTGAACGGGACAGCAAAGGCTGTCGAAGGTGGCGATAACCTTCCGGGCATCTGCTATTGCCGTCTTCAAACTGATGTTCAGCAGATCTTCGATTTGCTCTTCAGTGAGGCAAGGAACAGACGAACAGTTACAAGGAACATTCCATTTGGTCACCGGTCCGTTTTCAAACTTTTTGTAATCAGCTCCAATCTCTTTAAAAACCTCTGGTGCGTCCTTGTTCTGCATGTTGTATCCTACGCCAATGGTCTTGATGCCTTTTGTGTCAAGATACACGCAGGCCTTTTTGCCTTCATGCCTTATGATCAAAGGCTTTGGATCGCATTGCTGGGCTCGACAGCTATGGAAGAAAATAGCCAATTCAAAAATAATGAGAAGAATTTTTCCTTTGAACTCCATATTTCCGCTTCTCCCCTCTGATTAGAAACTGAAAGTTACCTGTGTAACACGATCTATTATAGTGCATTTAATTAATGTCACGTGAGGGGTTGAAAAATTTGCTGTTGAAGCGGGTCTTCGTTGTTTCCGGGTTCCTGCCTTAGGCCCGTTTCAAACGTCGTGCTACTGCCGTGCCGAACTCAATTGATCCAATTAAATTCGACTTCAGCACGGCAGTAGCGCGAAGTTTGAAACCAAGTCGTGCTACTGCCGTGCCAAACTCAATTCATAAATTATAAATACATTAGAATATATTTAAAAGTTTGCTAAACCGTTTTTTTATTTTTGTGTTTTGTTTTTGGCAACAGCCGTTCCATTCGACTGTCATTGTGTGAATTAAATTCGACGTCTGAAACCAAGTCATGCTAGTGTCGTGCTGCAGTCGAGCTACAGTCCAGCCAGCTTAGCACGGCAGTAGCACAACGTTTGAAACAGGCCTTAGCAAGGCTTCACTGCCATAGTCTGCTACACAGCCGTTTTTAGTGACGTCACGCAACGCTCCTTTGAAACTGGGACTGCATTATTCTCCGTCTGAAGCCCACGGCTTTGAGACTGAGGAACAGACCGTTCTCAACTGCATAGCTCTTCTCTGTTGTACACCACTTTGGACGAGAAGAGCTCCGCATGGCAACCCGCATGGCCAAAAAAAAGAAGGCTCTGGACTCGAAAATTGCGGAAATCGAGAAGCCCTTGGGAAAGAGGTTTACAATAGTAATAGTGCCCAGTCTCATCTCTACTGTTGAGCAACAAATCACTGACCCAGATCTCTCAGTTCCCATTCCACTACTTTACTAGAATGGCCCACCACGAAGTTTTACTTTGAATATTGTTCTACCAAAATGGACTAATAAAAAAAATACACCCGCCTTTTCAAATGCCGATCAAAGCATTTTTCTCGTAGTAAGGCCACCCGCCGTTTCACCTTTTATGTGGTTTGAGTGAAAACAAAACAAAACTTTGTGGAATTCGGCAAAGTTTTGTGTGTTTATATTTTGGGTGCGGCGTGTGAAAATGGTAGTGTTTATAGCTCTTCATAATGACGCATATTGTGTTTGCGGATATTATCTGTGAAAGAGGTGAAAAGCGACTTATGATGCAGTTATTCTGAACTGAAGAGTTTTCGAATGGAGTGGTTTCTGTTTACAAGAAATTTATTCAAGACGACCCTGAAGGCGAGGTGTGTAAGCCACGCTTGAGGTGATTCAACATTTGAATTTTAGCGCGAGCTACCGGAGGCATCCATGTGAAAAGTGGAAGTTGCCGTCGACCGATCGTAATTCCTTTGACCGGCTGTTCATTTGGCAGTTTAATCAAGAAGTGAAATATGCAGATGATCGGCAAGGTTGTAGTATTATTCATCCTGTTCCAAGCTCTTGTAATAACTTCTGGTCGATTGTGCCATTTTGAAACTGAAATTTCAGCGTCGTTTTGGATTCGAAAACCTTGTGTGTTCTTCTTTGGCAACGAAACTAAAATTACTAAGTACATTGGAAATGAACTGCGATTCGGAGAGGACGCTGGCTCGAAAGGGGCTTTTAGAGGATTAAAAGTGAATCTTAACGAGTTCTTTGAAAGCCCTTTGACGCTCTGGAACAAAAGTTGTGATTGTACTGAAGTACCATGTTTGAACGAACAACAATTGAACAATTTATTTGCTAACAGTTTGGAGCTGGTTCGCAAAGAAGTACCGACTAGATTTCGATATCTTCCTCGATTATGCTGTGCATTACAACAGGTTTTGGGAGAACTCGTTTTTAGATTGCAACCAGAAGACATCGCGAAATTGACGAAAATCGCCTTAAAGGGAATTAACATTCACAATTGGACAACATGTGTCACTAATGAACTCCGACAGACGGAGTGGTGCAAAACTTTTAAAGATAGATGTGATAACCTTATAGATCGTATTAAGAGAGGCTGTGATGGAAAACCAAGGGAAAGGAGAGATATTGATCTAAATATGACCACAGTATGCAGTTCGTCCTCGTGTTTTCAGGGTAAGAAGAAATCATTTAAATAGTTTCTACCTTCATGAGTACATAGCGTTGTTTACGACCGGTAGCGTTATATTAAATAAATTACTGTGGAATGCACCAGAAATGTCTTGGGGCGCGAAAACTTGAATTCCTTTCACTTTCATGTGATTTCTTCTTTATTTTTAGAACCCAAAATGATGTTTTAACGAAAATGAAAATGATCTCAGCGTAAGCAAAATCGATCAAAGTTTTATAAGTGCTAGCTTAATTTAAAGGATAGTGAACTGATGGAGATCAGTGAAGGGTTATTGTTTGTTCCTCTAAAATATAAAATAATTAGCCATTTCACCAAAATTCAGTGAAGAAAAATTCTGGCTTATCCCAGTCATGTTTGGCTCAACGTACGCACTATTTTCATCGCCAAACTTTAAAAATCGATTTAATAAGCGCAAGTTTTGCCGGGGCCGAAGATGATAGATGCATATTGCTTAATCATAGCTTATATTCGAGCAAGGATATTTGCCCATTTTGTTAGCAAAGAATGCCAATCTTTCACCGAAAGTGATTAATGAATTGCAAAACATAAAAAAAGTGAAACAAGGTTTGACGTCCTATATTGATACGAGGCGACACAGTATATAAAAAGCGTGGGATGTGTATGACTTAGAATAATTTATCTGAATTAAACACAAAGCAAAATTGTAACAGGAACAAAGGCTTTCAAGGACAATTTAATTACATCGCTTTCGTGAACTTGAAGATTTGCATTTCGCTTGGCACGCGAAACAAAAGTTTTACGAGATGTGCCGAGAGCAATTACAAAAAATATAATTGGAGTGTGAAGTAATTTTTTTTTCCCAGTTTGTAGATTAGCGAATTATTACTTTGTGTGTGTGTTCACGGAACATCTCAGTTAAGGCGAAGAAACACTGGAAGCATACTGATGCTTGTGGCAGCTTCATGCACACTTAATATGGGGTTTCAGTGCATTAACTTTAAAATTAACATTTTCTTTATTGGCGAGACAGGTACTGCGTTCTGTCAGTTTGGAAATGTTAACCCCGGATATTGATATTTTGGCAATTCATCAAATTAGAGCAAAATATCGACAGCTATCTCCGGAGCTAAGACGTTACATAGAAGCAAATCGCCTTCCTCAAATATACTGTGTACATTATTCCTGACAATAGGCTCGCTTCAGAAACGTCAAGCGTAAAAAGCAGACTGTCTGTCTTACACCAGTTTTTCTTCTTGTCAAATTCGCTAACAGGCGTTCGAGTTCGCCACCTAGTACCAGGCTCGCCAACCTCGTCCCCAGAGAAAAGCGCCCTGGGGACGAGGTTGTCGGCCCGCAAGCGTTTCCTATCGAGTTATTGCGCGAAAGTTAGAGCGGAAGCGATAAAAAAAATTGCTCTCTTCCCAACTTTCTCGACGAACTCGCGCGGAAACGCTTGCTACGCAGGCTACATTAACTTACAATGTTCAATAAAAATATCACACATAATATTTTACATTGATTAAACTTTTAAGTTCACGCGAAAAGAAAGGAACAGGAAAAGGAGAAGAAAGCGAAAAAAGCATCAATCGGGAAGTAGAGCGTAAGAAAACACCACTGCGCTACTGATTGCTGCGCTGCATGCTTAGTACAGTCGAATCTCCCTATATACAGCGACCACCAATGCGAAGATTTAGTGGTCGCTTTAGAAGAGAGTTGGTGGCTTACACTCTTTTTATAAACAATAATGTTGTGTTTCCAACCCAGGCTGAATATTCTTATTTTCCTTCATCTTGAATTACTATTAATTATAAATTATTGCTTATGGCATTCCCGTTTGAGAATGTATTGGTGTTTCGATTACCAGTGTCCTTGTCGTTTAGTGAAAGGAATAATTTTCTGTATTTACAGATTTTCAATCACAAAATTGAGTCCTTTACGAAATCTCAGCCTTGGGTTTATTCTTGAACTATTCTTAAAATTTCGCAAATTTCAGCCTCGATATTCTTATGAAAGATATTCTTATATAAAAAATAGAGTGTATGAAAATTGAACCACATGCTAGCCTGCTTGGCAGGCGTTTGAAAGGGAAGGGAAAGGGGGTTTTGGGCACGAGGGAAACGCCTTTCTGTCGCACCTAAACCCCCCTTTCCCTTTCCTTTCAAACGCCTGCCACGCAGGCTAACCACATGCGGTCTCCTCTGTTCAACGAATTACTGGAAGAGTGTTTCGAATTTCCATTCATCTTGATTGGCAAATGGACAATGGCTTTTTTAACAGGCCAATTATGACGCTGTGGTCAAATCTTGGTACACAGGTTGGGGCCGAAAACAAGGATTTCGGCGCCCTTTTGCAGACGGATTTAACCCAGAGTTAAAACGTTTCGTCTGCGGTGCAGGCTAGGAAAATCTTTGTGCTTCGGATCTGTGGTTGCACATGGAGGTTCGACTGTGTAATTTTAAAGTAAACTAACACCTTAATGTCACAAATAATCTTGTCATGGCATAAATATTGTTTTGTAGATGAGGGATCTGTTTCATCTTCATCTGTGGTGACTCTACAAAGAATATCTCTGTCGAGTATGGTTTCGTTGACAGCCATGACTAGTTCAGCGAATTCCTTGAAAAAGAGTGTCCAAGCGCTTGATACGAATTCATCTCCAACTTGTGGTTCACAGCAACCTTCACTTTCTTCGGTTTTATTCACCTCTTCTTCCCCCGGATCGTGGTCAACGAAATCTTCCACTGCACCAGCTGAGTCGAGAGCTTTTTTACGGGAACTGTCACCATCTCCTTCTTTGTCTACTTACGTAACGCCTCTGATGGCTAAAGATCATGAAGGAGGTGTAGTAACTACCACCTTTGGTTACAAGGCAAAGACCCCGCCCTTTTGGAAATTCTCTTTTTCTCTAACCAGCTCAACTGTTAGCGTTTCAGAAGGTTCACCTCTTGCGTCTTTGTCAGCGTCACAGAACACGTTTTTCAAAATTTCAACCGACGTTTCCCGCGTGGTAGACAATTCTTATTCTTTTAAAGCAAATTCTCGTCTTCCGTTGATGGACAGCTTCACGACTACTTCTTTAAAGCATAGCAGGAGGCAAGCGGCGGAATCCTCATCACACTCATCAATGGCATCAAAATCCACTGAATCGTTTACGTCATTTTTATCGTCGTCATCGTCTTCTTCGTCTGTATTCTTGTTATCGTTCGGATCATTATCGCTACCACCGCCATCATTGTTCTTATCATCACCATCATTGTCACCTTTATTGTTATTGTCGTCATCATCATCATCACCGACATTGATTTCAACACTTCCCTCGCCCCTACCAACATCGGTACCTGCACAACTACAAATATCGCGTATGTCTTTGTCGTCATCAACATTGACGTTTTATAATTCTAAAGCACCAAAATTTTTACCCTCTCCATCAAATTCACGAAAAGACACGTCATACTTATTATCATTGTCATCATCAACAATACTATCTCCGTCTCCATCAACGTCATCATCATCATCATCATCATCATCACCATCATCATCAACACCAACAACAACAATTGCGGAAATAAACCCAGGAGCGGAAACAACATTATCTCCATCACTGTCATCAAAGTTATCATCTTATTCCCTTCATTCGTTGCCTTCGGTAACTTATTTACGAGTGAAATTAAAAACAACAGAAACAACAGTATCGTCTTCTTCTCCGTCTTCAACGTTTACTTCGGTTGATTCACAGTTGCCACCGTACAGGTTTTCAGCGCCTTTACTAACGGCCAGAACATTTTCAAGTCAAAAATTGACATCCAATTCTATTATTAGTAGTTATTTATCCACTTATGTTTCATTCTTTCCTACGACCACGACGAGGGCACAGACGTCGATTACATCAGCTCCTTCGCTTGTCTCTCCAAGTGCACATTCCCTGTTCAATAATTCCTCGTTGATCTCAAAAATATCTTTGGCAGCAGAATCATATTCCTCTTTGCAAGACAAGGCCAGTTATGTTTCTTTTAGTAGAACTGGTAGAATTGAGTTGAAACCTTCCAGTGTAGTTCCGACGTTCCAATTCTCTTCGTTAAAGCTAAGCACCTTAAAGCCTCTGTTCACTGAAACATTTGTTGTTAAATTTAAAGGTAATTGCAGCGTGATTGTTGACAAGAATTCCTTCAAACTCAGCTTTGTAGCGACACTGGCCAGTATACTGCGGATACCGAGAGATGACGTCATAGTTGATGACGTCATCTGTGGTTCAGTGAGTGTTGTTTTCACTGTCAAAGCTGCGCGTGAAAGAAACTTAACCAATGAACTTTTGGGAATAATCAAGAACGAGTCATTGGTAGTGAAATATAATGATACGGTGTTTATAGCTTTCGACTTGAAGATTATCTCAAATCCAACTGTTCCAACGAAGTTTTCAAGGCCTACAGAGATTTCCAACCACGATAGAAAAAAGTTGTTGTTTATCATATTTATCTTTATTTGCGCTGTATTTGCGGCGTTATTTGTATTCTTGTCTGTGGTATTTTGTAGTAGGTTTTGCGCATGCTGTCAGAGAACTGGAAAATTCCGCATGCAGAAGAGAGTGCGTTTACGGGCGCAAGATTTTGAACTTAAGCGTTTCGCGGAACGCAGAAGCCGGCTCTCCGGAGCAAATTATTATGGCGAAGAGGCTCATAAACGGGTAAACAGAAGGAAAAAAGAATCAGAAGTTGAAATTGAAGAAGAGGATATCAATGATTATTATGAAGACGAGTTTGTTGCGGGACTTCAAGCTGATACCAACGATACATTGTTAAACTCTACTAATCATACGGCGAATTCTAACCAACAGGAGGAGCAGAAGTTCGTCTTTGATGACGAAGACTCTTCTTCAAGTGTATTGTTTTATTAAGTACTTGCATTTTGCTTTTGAGCTTTCTTGTTATAAATTGTTTTGAGCGAGAAAATGTTCAGCCTGAGATATAAAGCCAACTTTCTGAATGATTTTGTGACCTCTGCGTCCTGTGTCCCTGACGAATAAAAATCCTCAAAGACGCGAAAATAATTCATAGCATGCGTCCCGCGGAACGCAAAGATCGATCGATCGGTCTGAACATGTGTATTAGTAGAAATATCCCGTTCGTGTAATTTCTGTTGCAGTTATCACGACTGTTGTTTAACGATGCATATTTCTTTTAGCCTTTGTTGTGCTTTAAAATAGAAGGACTATATTTTAATTTTAGTATACTGTAATACAAAGTTTTGGAGTCTGTCTTCAGATTAACCGTCTGGTTACAAAAGGCCCAAGCATTTTCAATTTCGGACTCGTTTTTTCTTTTTTTTAACTGGGACTCATTGGTTCTGGTTTGGGACTCATGATTTTTAAGAAGATGAGTCCTAGGACTCACCCTAACTATTTGTAACCAAATAACTGCATTCAAACCTCGTTTGTAGGGTTGTCTCATGTAAGTTGAGAAAAAAAGCCACGAGTTGATGGGAAGGACTGTGCGTGTATCAATGCTTCCTTTCTCGGGAAAAATAGAAAGGGGAAAAGGCGTTGTCTAGGTATCGCAAATCAGGTCTTTCAGAGACTCTACACCTTTTTAAAGCAAGAGGCACTGCAACCTCGTCTCCAGGGCTTTCGACCCTCCCATTTTCTTCGGAAAAGCTCTGGGAACAATGTTGCCTGCATTACAGAATGCAATGCAATGCGCCACCAATGCCAATCTGTACCTTTCATGGACCTAAAACTAAAACCATTTTTTATGAGATGATAAACAGTACCACAGGAAAGTATTGCTTCGTAACGCGAATATCAGGCTTTTTCAGGAAACAAGGCTTAGTGGAGTTTAGCGAAGGAGCCGAGAGGGGAACTGGAGACCTCTTCCTCCTTAATTCGCCGAAATAAAAACAATAACCAACAGAAAGAATGGATCCTAAACCGGATAATTACTGACTAGGATGACCAGGATCTCTCCTCTGGATGACTGGGATGACTATGATGTCCGGGATGACAGCATAATCGGTTGCGGTCCTTTGCACTTAATGTTCATTTATGACTAGGATGACCGGGATGCCTACGATGGCCAGGATGACTGGATTATGATGTCCGGGATGACCGCCATGACTGGGATAACCTGAGATGAGGAGTTATTTATTTATTTTTTTTTGTTTCCCTGCTTCTTTGGCTCAAGAGGGAAAAGATTACAGGGATAAAGGGAGAGAGCATGATCGCAGGCTATGACTGGGATAACTAGGTAGACCTGAATGACCGGGATGAGTGGTATGACTATGATGACCGGGATGACTGGGATAACGAGGATGACTGGGATGAATGAATGAATGATTTTTTTAATGTCGAAGACGTGGGAAGTGTTTACACAATCTTCCGAGCCAGAGGCTCATGTTAAAAACGGTCGACAAACTAAAAAATACAAGTCAACCCACACATCCCAGGATAACCGGTAGCCTTCTCTGCAGACGTCACCGTCTTGTTTTAGACTATAACACGGTCAGTGTAACCGCTACAACAGGAGTTGCTTGCGGAGGAAGCTTGATAACGGTATAACTGGGAATGTGACCCAAGTCGTGCAAACGGACGCAACATGGTTGGCCAGCAACTCCTAACATTGCTGTTAAGGGGGGATACATACACCAACGCACAGCCTGGCCAGTACCTCACGTATGCGCACAGCCATATCACTTAGACAGTAGCAATAATGAACAGCTGTTTCGCCTTCATTGAGATTGAGGCTCATCAGCATGGCATAGCCGTCAGGTCAAACTCCAGCTCCACACAACTGACATGTGGGAACTGTTGGCTGGGAACCGCACGGCAGTTCTCTCACGGCATGGATGTTACATGTTGCTTCCGTTTGCACCAAGAGTTTATAGTGTCTTGGTTTGCACACCCTGTTGCATTTGCGTATTGTTGGGAGTTATTGCGCAAAGTTTCAAAACGGTCAAACTTTTAGCTACCCCGCCGCTAGCCTGCTTAGCAAGCGTTTCCAATCGAGTTATTGCGCGAAAGTTAGAGCGGAAGCGAAAAATAAAAAGGTGTAAGAGGGAGGGGGAGGGGAGAAGAGGTTCCTTCTTTCCCCTCCCCCTCCCCTGTCATTCCTTTTTTTTTGCTCTCGTTCTCGACGAACTCGCGCGGAAACGCTTGCTACCCAGGCTACTCCGCGGCTGTTCATAGGCGCTACCGGTCAGCGGGTACACCCAAACGAAGAAGAAAACATGGCGACTTGTTTTCATGGCGGGCAAAGAATTAGATAGCAACTTTTTTATATTCTTGCCGCAGTGTTTTACAAATGATCCTGTTTCCGATATTGAGAAAGGTTCAAGGAATTCTTGTTATGCCGGAGAGCATCTGTGCTTTTTCCTGATAGTTCAGTTTCGCGGCAAGAATCGTTCAGATGCGAAGTTCCAAGCCTGGCAAAAACGCTTGCTACGTTTGTGTAGCTGTGTGAGTGTGAGTAGCATCGATTTGATGATCCGGAAAGATGAAGCACCTACGGGCGGATTTATTACTTGCTGGCCTATCAGCTCTTTTAAAATGGAGGGAAAGGAAACCAATCATTATAAAGAAAAGGTAATCTAACTAGACAACAAGAACAAGCTAAGCAATACACATGCTTAACCCTTTGACGACCGCTTTGGTCGTTTTCATTTCTTGTGTAACGATGCATATTTTCCTTCATGAATCCATTTAGCTTTCCTTTGTAGCTATTAAGATGGTAAGCAGCAAAATCAGCTAGGATAGATCTTTCCAGAGGCACCTCAAGGCCATTCCATTTATATCCACAAGTCCACTAGAGATTTTCTGAGGGGGTCAATGCTATAAGAGAGGTTTTTCAGAGGGGACTTACTGTTCAACATGCCAGTTTTTTAAAAGGTGAAAATACCAAGAAATATTATATTTTCTGAAGGAATAAGGGCAGTGTTACATCACTCATAATAGGTTCAGTGTATGCAATAATTCCTTATGAGTGATGTAACAGTGCTTATTCCTTGAGAAAATAAAATATTTCTTGGTATTTTCACCGTTATTCTTATGAAAAGTGCTTTAGAATGTCTTCCCAGAATGGGACAGATAATGCACCTATCAATGTAAATCCCGTGGGGGAGTGCAGGCAAGGGGCGAGGATTTGATGCCTGAGACTATCCCCCTGTCGGGCTTTTGATCGTGCGAAGCGACCCCGGGGTCGGGACATTTGACTTTGACCGACAGAAGCCTGGTATCAATTCAGAAGCGGTTATCAAGTCCGTCCCTCGAGGCTATCTGAAAGTCACGCTGTTGGAGAAAGGTGTGACGTTTTCATTTGTTTTAATCGCCATAATCTGATACTTTAAACTGTCATCTAAACAGATAATGTCTATTTTGAGAAAGTTTTTATCTTCAAGTTCCCATCTGATTGTAAAACTCGATTGAAATCGAATTCCACCATGAAAGCCAGAAGATTTTTTACGGGTCACTGATCCGACCTGTTCCGACATGTTGAGCAGATGTTATAAAGTATTTTACGTTTCATTAATATTATAATAGCACGGTCAATCTTCCTAGAGTGATTTTGTTGTTCAAAATAAGAGCTACTAGTGGAGAGAGAAAATACTTAATTACAGCGAGTAATTTAACGGAGCTTACGTTTAGTAAGGATGTACTTTTGAAATGTTTTTTAATTCGTTTTATACAGTATTATAGTATTGTTTGTTTAGACTTTTTCGCCTGGGGTGGGGGCTTTTTTGACACTTTTGATTGACCTTTCGTTTCCCCCCCTGGGCAATTTGATCAAAAAATTTTAAAATTTGTCAAATCCCCACTCCTTGCCCGCCCCCCCCACCCCCACGGGGTTTACATTGATAGGTGCATAACAGTGCCACATTTTCCAAGGGATACAAAACAAAAAAAATGTAATTTTTTTCTCCGGACTTCTGACCGAAACCTCCTCCTCAATAGAGGTGGGGAAGGGGTCTGACCAAAAACACTTCCTTAACAGGGGTGGGGGAATGGTGGTTATTGAATGGAATGGCCGTCGTTTTACCAGTGAGTCTTTGCTAAATTAAATAAGCCCCCCTCTCAAATTAGCCGTCTGTCTCTATAAGGCCCCCCACCCCATCCCCCTTCAAGTGTGTTTGAAATAAATAAGCCTATAGGGGGGCTTAAGAGGATTTATGGTATGGGCAAGGGCAAAAAAAAGAAGTGCTGCTGAAGTAGTATACTTGTGTGGGTCAGTGAATTTGAGCTTAAGCTAGAAAAAGAAAACCATTTTCCTCAATTTGTTTTCTTGTGGTTTGTTTTTTTCCTTCTAGATTGAACCAAAAATCACATCTCGTGGGGATATCATCTACCCCTTGAATGTTGTACTAGACTCACTGCCTGCTCTAACCAGAAGAATGCGTCTTTCAGTGAATGTCTGGACACCTGAACTTGATGCATTTCAAGCAGAGCCATTCCAGAAAGGTGACTTTAAAAGATATCTGGTAAATCATGACCCAGAAGAGCTCATAGAAGAGTCACGGAATGCATGGCGATGTATAGGTAAAATTTACTAAAATATTGGAATTCAAACACTTCGGTGCAGTTTATTGCATGGTTTAAAGCTTAAACCCAGGAAGGTATTATGCATCTTATGTCAAAAATTGCAGGTTCTCGAAATCACTTTATGATGAGCCTTGAAGTCTCATGTTTGTGAGTTCTTCCTTCTCTGATTTTTCAAACATTTGCTGCAAAGTCTCATATTTCTCAAACATTGCTAATGTGTCTCACTGAGTGGGGGATTTCTTTATTTTTTATTTAACATTGTTGATATGATTTGTAGTGAATGCAACCCTCCCTGTTGTTACACCTCCGACACTTCGGTGCAAGTATTTTCAAGTGGCTAGCAAGCATTTTCTCTGCATTGAAGGTAAATGAGATACATTTAACCTGGATTGTGTATTTAACTACTGACATGACACCGACACACTAGTATAGAGTGTTTTCACAATAAATTTGAAACCGTTGAATGGAAGAAGCCAGAAAAATGACTCATAAATACATTGATGTACCCTATCCGAGTCTAAGGTCTGGCCAGCGTACCATTTTTTAAGTTATTTTCTGACAAGTTTCATGCAATTTTATAGAGCTTTGTATGGAGATGCCATGCTGGTGTACCAACATGACACAAATATTTTGACCTGTGATCAACAAAGACATCATTCTGGATTTCACTTAGTTTTGTACATTCACGTAAACACATATTTTACTGTTTGAAATGTTTAAATGGCTGAAATTATAAGGAGATAGCTTTCTATAGCCAGACATCTCGGCCACCTTCAACTTGGTGAAGAGCTGATAAAAATCCAGAGGGCCTCGCTATTTTGATTTTAGAGTATGATGATGTCATTGGTGAAAACACTCTATTAAGCAAACCTGTATATTCAGCAGTGACACTTTATTTATTAAATTTCATTGTTTTCACCTCTGATAAGCCAATTGATCTGTGTTATAAAAAACGTTGTCAGTTATTTTGTCAAGTGTGAGGTTTAATTGCTTTTATGACTTTCAAGATTACTGTAATTTGAAGACAATTTTCAACTGTTTCTCTATTTTTTCTAATTAAAAGTGTGCTTGCCCCACAGACAAGTCATGTTAAAGGTTTACGTGTCCAAACAAAATTTCTACCTGTCCCAGACAATCGGACATACATGTAGGTTTTGTTACACCTTGCAAATACAGTACAATTAAAATAGCTTTTTATTAAATTTTCTTATTAATTAACATACATACTTAAGGAAGGGCAAAGTTAGAGCCGCAGTGTATTTTTTTTATTTCTTTGTTCTAGTTATTAACACTTTAGGGAAGTCAGTCAATGTTTGTCAAGTAGACGTTCATGCAAGTTCTGATATTGGTGCTGAAAATGCGAGAAACATGAACCACAACCAAGTTTGCTCAACACAACACTTAAAACCAAAAATGTAAGTGAAAAGGAACATTTATTGGCAGGGTCAATAGTAGTCAAGTCATAGTAATCTTCACAGGTTCATGAAAATGTTGCTCTTAACTGGGCTGCCTGTGGCAGGCACAGTCATAATTTTGGTTTTTGGTTGTCTGTGTAGAAAAACGAACTCGCGGGGGAGGGAAGACACGAGGTCTGGGACCGAGAAACAATGTTCTCACAACTTGTTTCATACGCCTTTGGGCAGTGACATGTCATCAGTATATATTTCTGCAGTTGTTTGCTCAGAACTAATTCCCTGAATGTCTGATCCCTGCACCAGCCTTCCATCATCACCCCACCCTCACTCTCACCAACAGCAAAAATATTTTGTTCTGTACTGCCTTGTGCCTCCCCCCTCCCACCCCTCAATAAAACAGCTCTCCAGACAAACCTTCCTACTGGAAAATTTATAAGAAACTTCTGCTCTTATAGAGACTTACATGAGTGGTGGCAATTTTTTGTAAAGAGTTTCTCAACTCAAAAAATGGACAAGACACTTGTGCACTTTCATGTTTAATTTCTTGCTTCTTTTTCAATTTCATATCATCAGGTTCTCTTGTCTAGATGTTTTTCCAGTTTCAAAATGTGAAAATTTATCAAGCAAGCATCCAATTCTCCTCAGACCTTGGGAACACTATGCATTTCTGTTTAGAATTATCCACCATGAAAGCCAGTTGGGATCGCATAAGGTATGAATATGTCAGATCTGGGTAGTGACATGTCATCAGTATTGTACAAATTATGTACATGTATTTTTCTCTTACAGTACGAGTATGTACTTCATCAGGTGGCCTGCAAAGAGAAAGACAATGATCAATAATAGATTCACTGATCGTTGGTACAGTGGAACTTCAATATTATAATAAAGGGCCAATGGCCCTGCAAAATATGCTCGGTTTTAAAGGGTTTTGTTCTGTCAAGACCCTTTTCCAAATGATATACTATTACCAGGACAAAGAATAAATCAAGGGGGTTGTTATATAGAAGTTTGTTATATCAAGTTTCCACTGTCATCTGTAGTAGAATTGTTTAAAATGAGGAAGACTTAAAATCTCATTCTCTTTCAATAGAAGATATTGTTTTATTGGTGGCAATAAAAACATGAAATACTGAGTTTCCTCATTGAAGCGGCCACTCCCTTGGTCTCATTGGCACCCTGACTGAATAAGCACCTTATCATGCCTGTCAGTTTTTTAGAGAGTGAGGATGTCATAAGGAAAGCCTTGTTTTTCACTTTTTTAATTTTTACCATAATTTGAAAACACTGGTGTCAAAATAAGGAGACAGATTCTTCACCATCAAGTTGATTTCATTTATATCTGTCTCTATGCAGAGTGTACATTATGTGCCAAATAATCACCCCCTTCAAATAGGCACCTTCTCCTCCTCTGACATATGTTATAGTTAATTTTTTGTCTCAAGTAATTTTTTTTTTGTTTCAACTTCATTAGCATGCATTACCATACTCAAAAACAACAGAAAAACAAAAATTACGTCAGATAAAAAATTAACTACAACATAAACATGTAAACTTTAGCATTATTAAATATATACAGTTTTAATTAATTAATTAATTTATCTATTCTTTTATTTGTTTATTTCTGTCAGCATTTGGAAGTAGCCCTTAAAGGGTCGATAACCTGGGATGTAGAGACACTCAGAGGCTGGAATCATGAAATTAACACAACGTACAGGTACTTATCGTCGCTTAAAAATGCTTCTAATATCCTATTACTGTTCCAACCAGCCATAACTAGTCACAGTAAAAATTCATCTTTTAATAATTATAATAGTTTTGGACAACAGATCCAAAAAATGTTATCAAAGGCACAAGAGATTTTGAAGTTTCTTCTTGGAGAGGGAGATGAAAGATAAAGAAAACAACCAAACTCCTTAAAGTCAATCAAAATTGAGCATTAATTTATCGGTCAGTTTAATGGATGTCCTCCTCTTCTGTACTGGTTTATTATTAAAGAAAAATTTAGTGGAATTAAAAGCTGCTCTAAGCAAAAAATTACAGCTTTTACAGTCATGAAAATAAGTCGCTTTTCAATCTAAATGCCCTCATCATAAAATTTCAGTCAGTTGTTTTGATGCTAATACAACATTTTTGTTTGGTGCTTTCAAGTTTTGAGTAAAAAGATAAACATTTTGAGGCCTGCGGAGCCCCAGTAACAGCTGGCAATTTTTCCTGTTATCATGTGCATATTTTATTTATATTATACAATACAATAGCTAGGCAAGTACCATTTCAACTACATGATTTTGATATTTTTTATGTTCCTATTTTTCAACAGTCTTCCTGTCTTTCTTGTAAGAAGGTCATCTGTCAGTGTGAGAGCAACTTGTCAGTCATGTGTGAGCAAAGGAAAGAGGTAGTGTGAATCAGCAAATAAAAAAAGATTCCATATTATTTTGGGCTAGTCTAATTGTTTCTGTTTTGTACATTGTCTTCCATCTTTCATAAAAAAAATAATGATTTGTCACTCTCAATAAACTTGTCATTTTAGCTAAGTACTCTCTGATTCGAATTATTGCTTTAAAAACAATCGCTGCCTGGTAAGCTCAGTTGGGAGAGCGCCAGTCTGCTAAACAGGAGGTCGGAAAGCTCAGCAGTGATTACATAAATGTTATTAATAAGTAATAAATTTTACATGAATAAAAAACACACACACTCACTCACACAAAAGAGACTGACTGAGCCAAAACTGTGGCTTGTTAGCTATCATTAGTGGGAGTCATCTCTTTTACAGAAAGGATCAGATGCATTTTGTAGAGTTTGTGTTCCTATAAGTACAATGTTTCATAATGTAGAATAATTAAAACTGTAAGCTTTTCTGTCAACTGTAATCCTCCTTTCAAGATTTCAGGTGAAGTACACAGTAACCAACACAGAGCGAGATGATGGTAATGTTTCCCTTGTTTGGAGTCCGTTCAATAATCATGGCATGACAAAAACTCAGCACATTTCGAGTGCAGAACAATCTGTGGTGTGTTTACAACCACAAGTGAGAATAGGGTAAGAATATTTAAGTTGCAAGTTAATGGTCCTTTTAGTAAATAAGTTCTATAGTTTACAGTTTGCAGTAACATAGCCAAGGTGATCCTTTTATACTGTCAATAGGAAACTTGACACTGAATTAGATTTCAAGACACTTCACAGGAAATTTGACCCAAAGTTAAATTCAAGACACTTAACGTCAGCAAGGTAATTACCCAGCAAAAGTGAGGCCACTGGTAGTGCTATCTTGTCCACAGACTCTGCAGTTGGAACTTGTAGTATTACCAAAACTTGTCTTCGCAACAGACCCAAACGACAAGAGCTTACAACTACAGTAAAACCCCGGTAACTCGAACTCTGTAGGGAAATGAAAAACAGTTTGAGTTAGCTAGGGTCCGAGTTATCAGGGTTAATTTAAAAATTGAATTTGCCAAGTTAAAAATAGATAGTTACTGATTTTTCCGCGCTTCAGTGTATGGTACAGTGCAAATTTAACTTATTTCATCAGAAACAGTAACATGATCAGGCATTTTTTATGATAAAATGTGGTCTGTTTGTTCCACCAATTAAAATCAAATTGCTTTAGTGTTAAACAGTGTTAGTTTTAGTGTTTTCACCCTTATACAACAAGAAAAGCTAATGAGATGACATCCGAGTGGAGTTAAAAGAACCACAATTTGAGCTATCAGGGTAAATTTCAGTTACTTTTTGATCAAGGGAAAAGATATTTTGTTTGAGTTAGTGGAGAATTCGAGTTATCTGAGGAAAAGTGACTGAAAAGTGGGGCAAAATCAAGTTATCCAAGTTTGAGTTATGGGGGTTCTACTGTATTGGTGGCACTTGTGAGAGATTGTTCATCATCCTTTTTCACTCTTTGAAAGGAAAGCCCTGTTTTCCCTTGGGGCGTGGCTTCTGTAGAAGTTTCAGTCAAAGAGTACTTTATGCCTGAGCATTCTTTGGCCTAATATCATGCCTACTCCCCTCCCTTCCTCCCCCCCTTCCCCTTCACCCATTCCATGTCCCTCACCCAGCAGTTTTCCTTTGGTAACTTCAATTTGTTTATTAAAGGTGCTGTCCTTCTGGGTCTTCACTGACTGTCAAAGTAGAGTTTTTAGCTGTGCAAGAAGGACTTCATGAGGTATTATTTCCTACAGTTGTGCATGTTGTTTTTATCATTATTATCACCCACATTGTTGAGCAAAACATTTTGCATCAGTTACTTAACCAAGCTTAAGATAACCCAGTCACACCTCAGCCTGCCTGTAACAGCATGGGTAGATCCAAATCCCTCTGGCCTTTGGCTGCTACAAAATCCTGCTCTGCTAAAGCTATTGCCCTTTTGGTGCTTTCTACTCTGAATCCCTTCCTAATAATGCCAGTGAGTGACTTCATCACAGCCTATTAATCTGCTGGTTTTCTTTAGGTTGGTAAATTTATGAAGTGCCAATGGCATAGTGAGATGGATGGTAGAGATCTTCCGGATCATTTGGCAGCAACAGAGAATATGCCAGGCTTCACGACTATGTCTCATTCATGTCAAGTTTTTGTGACAAATGGATAGTGAATAAAACATTATAAAATATAATAATATACATTATAATGATAAAATTGTTATCATAATGCACAAAATTTACTTAATTTATTTTTCTGTGACTGGCTCAATAGAACAGTTCTTAGAATTATAATAATTTATTATTATTAGAATTAATTAGAATCTGACTCAAAGATGGAGCAGGCCCGAGTTCACTTCCATTTTTTTAAGCCCAAATTATCTAACAACTGTTGATTTAGTGTGAAACTATTCTTTTCTTCTAAATATCAGCGTTTGACTGAAGCAGGGATATCAGCCCTGTAAGTCATACATTTATCAATAAGGATGTGATATTGGTCCATGTTGTTATGATAGATTGAAGTGACAAATCTTATTCCTTAGGTGAAACACATGAAATGGCATGATTCAAAATTCCGCTTAATAGTGAGGTCTAGGGGGACTTTTCCTCCTCATGTTTTTACATTGTTTCACTAAATAAATAAATGAGTACCCTGCGAAGAGTCTCCTTCAATCTAGCCTGTTCCAGGCTCCGAGGTAGTGGTGAAAAGTCGTTCAGTAAAAAGAAATGCAAAAAATGTGCAGAGGTACCTTTCCCAAGTTGCGCGTGTCTTATTTTAACTTTGCTCGTTTTAATACATCCCCATTATACTATCTGAGAGCCTGGCCCTGGCTACCTTCGATCTTCCTAGATAAGTCGGGAAGAGGAAGGAACCTCTGCCCCCATCCTCGACAATTCATATTGAGCTTGCCCCAAATTCAAATTTTTCTGCGCTGTCAATCAAACCGTTACCATAGCATCCACTGAGTTTGTCAAATAAAGGCGGCAGTACGAAACCTGTCTGACTCATCCAAATCACGGAATGATCAGCAAATCAAAGGAATTTGAAGATGTCAGCAGAGTCGCTTCCTCTTTTCCAACTTATCTAGGAAAGATTCTGCTAGCAGGGTAATGCATGACTTATTAAGACTGAAATCTCTTTATGTATTCAATGAGATATCTTGCTTTGCTGCTTTGCCTTGTCAATGATATCAAGTTGGACACTCAAGGAAAAAATTTGTATGTCCCCCCTCCCCTTATGTAGGTATTTTATTACTCTTAACAAATCTATTTAATGCTGGTTGAATATTGAAATAGATACATATTTAAAACATTTAAAAAGTCAGTTATAATTAGTGGGGATTAATATGATAATAGAATGAAAAATACTAGTAATATAGGTAATACTATACAGAAACTGTTTTATGATAGTTTAAGGTATGTAGTGGAATGATAACAAATTGCTCTTTTATGATAGCATTTTGGATCTGACATTTCTGGTGTAAATTTTCCAAAATACTATTTAATATATTGTTGTTAATAAAATGCACAGTTGACTGGGAAATAAAAATTGTATTATGTGGTATAAAAACTCGAGTTGCTGTTTTGTTGCTGTGCTATGTTATTGCTACAAAATTAAAGCATTGATCACATTGTGAAAGGTTTGAGCACATTGTCCAGGCATAACTGCTTATCAACATAAAATCGTAAGAACAAATTAAAGAAATGATTGCCAAAGAATTCTGATTTTGAAACAATTTCAAATAGGAAATTAAATGTGGAGAATAGATTGCAGGGTAACCCTTTTAGGAAAATGTCCAAGGTGGCAGGTGCCAGTCAAACAATCAAAATCTTGATAAATGGTCAAGGTAGCTTTTTTGCTCCTCAATAGCCTGCGAGCAAGCTCTCCTATTTGGCGTGTCTCGAAGCGGGTCTTGTGAGAACACACGAGCAAGTGGCGAGGCCGCGAGGGGCAGGCCCTCGCTCAAGCGTTCTCGCGAGGCTCACCCAAATAGGAGAGCTTGCTCGCAGGCTAGCTCCTCAAAGCATCCCCAAGCACCATTTCTTAATAAACTGAAATACTCCGGGTATGTCCATTTTATAAACAATTCTTTATTTCCAGCTATAACAAAGTACTTTTACGGAAAATAAAATGCTTTATCCATCACAATATAAATATCGTTGGGTCCTTTGCAAAATTAATCCTTTCATGCTGAGGTAAAAATCCCATGATGTCATTTACTATTTAAGAAAAATCTCTCCAGAGTATTTTCTTGAAAAAGTACTACTTTTTTAGGATTTTTCAATGTAGGATTTTGAAGTCTTTCCTAAAGTTTGTCCTCGGCCAGTCCCGGAGAGTAAAAAGGTTAACTGTACTGTTCAACTGATTAGATAGTGCATTAGAGGGAGTGTAATAAGTTCACACATGTGAGCTGGGGTCAATTCAACCAAACTTTTGTTGGCTACTGTTATTCACCGGCTCATGTAGCTATTGTTTTCAGAATCTGGAACAACATAAATAGTATTTTATTGCTACACTTGTGAAAACTAATGTTTAAGTTTTATTGAATTGACCCCTGGTGAATGATGAAAGCGAGCTTGAGAGCAGGCTAACTTGTGTGAGTTCAGGGAAAAGTTTTGCCACCAACGCAATAGGTAAACTTCTCGTGTGATGGTGGCTCTTCCGCCAAAATTTTGCCTGCACTCGCACAAGTGAGCCTTTTTACAGGCTGGATAAAGCCAGCTAGTTCTCCTAAATGAATTGAAAGGGAGACCGATACATGTACCAACATAAAGTTTTCTAAGAAAGTTTTCTGACTTCCTTTTACTAAATTTGCTGCTCAAGCATGAGATCCAAAAAAACAAGCAGTCTCACACACTTAAAGGTATTAATTAATCCTCCAACAAAGTATGCTGCTCTCTCTCTAACCTGCCTTCTTGCCACCATGTGTACACTTGTATAATTTTCATTGTCCGTTCTTGTTCTGATGGAAAGTAACTGACTCATCTAAAATATGTCAAATGATTACAATTTTTATTTTATTTTAAGTATTTTTGCCAGGTTATTCATTCTGACTCTTGTTTTGCAGGTCTCTTAACCACATATATTTTTTGATTGGACACTGTTGCCATTAAGATGAAGTCTTCATAATGCACTGCAAAGAAGAAAAAAATATATTAAGATAACAATGAGCACCCTTAACACTAGGCAGCCAATAAAATTAGAGCTCATTTACCCAAATAGTAATATTTAGTCTCCAGACTGATCTCCATAAATTTCCTTAAAGATTATTAATTGATACCCTGCTAGCAGAGTCACTTTGATCTTTCCTGGATAAGTTGGGAAAGAGGAAGCGACTCTGCCGACATCTTCAAATTCCTTTGATTTGCCAATCATCCTGTAATTTCGATGAGTCAGACAAGTTTCATACTGGATAAACCAGTTTTAGCTGTGCACACATGCGTATTCTGGAGTTTTACCGATTCTTTCTGTGCCTACCCTCCGTAATGTTCAAAACAAATAGCTACCTCTTAAATTTCATGCAAGTATTTTGAGAAAATTTTAGACTGAACGTTCAGTTTTAGAAAACTTGGAAAATGCACCTGATTTGAGATGGATTTTGTTTTGGATTTAACCATGTGCTTAGCCGATTTTACTTGCGTGAACGGATCCTTAATCCGGTAAGTGTTACCCAAAGTTCTTGGAAGGATAAACAAATGGGTTTTGAATAAAAATATCTATGCCTATTCTTTTGTGTTTGCTAATTCATAACAAAAATACAATCATGAGGCTACAGAATCCAAGTTGCATTTAAATGATCGATGCTTTTACAGCTGGTTTTGGACAACAGCCGACCTGCGATATCAAAAACGTCTTTGGATTTTGTATTTTTCAAAATCTGAAAAAGCAGCGGCTTTCTTTGCTTTCTAACCCTTTACATCTTAGCAAAGCTCTTAGGAAACAAAAGGGGTCATGGTTTGTGATTGGTGGATTTCAATCCGTTTTGTGTGTTTCAGTGTTTCAGGGTTCGTTGCTTTGTTTTTGAAAAGCACCGTAAGTTTTACCTAAGCTCTCAGTTTTTTGTCTTCTTTATACTGAAACATGGCAAGTTTAGATTCCAAGGAGAAGTTGTTCCTATTGAGCTTCCAAATCCAGAGGAAACACAGATACGGAAAGGTGAAAACGAACCGGTATGTTCCCGCTAACATTTACATTTGCTGACAAACACAGTGGATGCTACGGTAATGGTTTGATTGACGTCACAGAAAAATTTGAATTTGAAGCATGTCCAATATGAATTGTCGAGGATGTCAGCAGAGGTTCCTTCCTCTTCCCGACTTACCGTATCTAGGAAGATTGAAGCAGACTCTGTTCGCAGGATAATTAATTGAGAAAAGTATCGAAATATTTTCCCTTGGGTGGCAATTTTAAACAATATTATTGGATGAGGTTTTTATGATATCTGGAATAATCAAGGTCAAGGTGTTATCAGCCAAGCCAAAGGCAAAGGCTGATAACACTTGCCGAGACTTTGATTATTGAGGAAATCACAAAAACTGGAACCAATGATTGTTTTATTATATATTGTTCTAATGAAAATAATGACAAACACACCATCGCAAGGAACCTGAATTGATATTGTTTTTGAAAATCATGCACTGCATGTACCTACAGATTAGTCAGTTATCTGCTAGCAGATAACTGACTAATCAGTGTAGGTTGCACTAATTTCCAAAATTAGCTGTAGGCTCTTAGTCAATGAGATGAGAAGACAGATAGTGAGTACAATGTGTAATAATAATAATTCTTCTAACCTTTTCTCTTGATTATGTATTGCGATTGTTAGGAGAAAATTGACGTTGGACACTCTTAACCCATTCGCTCCTGGAGTTTTTGCCGAAAAACGCGTTTTGAAGCTAGTCGAGTGGTTTTCTGGTCACTGTCGTGCTATAAAGAGCTAAAACTTACCACAAACCGGTTTACAGGTGGTACACTTCATGGCCTTCTGATCCAGATGCAAAATATCAGCTTGCGAAGTTCGGGCATGCGCAGAAAGCAAAATTTCGAGATAGTTTTTGGGTTTAAAAGTGACACAGCAGTCTTGACTTTTACTTTTCGCTTTCTCTCCTCCCCTCTTTTTTCGCTTTTCTTGCCTCATTTTTTTTCTCTTGCTGGGCATTTAGTAGGCTTCATTTTGGTGGGAATAGTTTTTAGGAAAGCTTTTAGGATCTTAGGATTAGGTGAAAGGAAAGGTAGGTGGGCAATGGAACAAGATTTTCATGGAGATTTTCAGGTCAATGTTACATGGTTTTTTGCCTCTTTCTCCGGTGTCCTTGACTGAATTGTGCTCATTCTGGTATGGTTTGAAAGATCTCTTCACTCTGCACAAGTTAGCGGGCAAAGTTGTCCTTGACCGTTAAAACTGATGACATCACAAAGGGTAGAAAGGACGTGGATCCGCACGGGCGGTTCAGGGGCGAATGGGTTAAGACTTAAAGCCAAGGCTTAAATTAATTAACATTGCCTACATAGTTATTAACTCAACAGTAAGGTGGTGAGATAAAATAACCCCAGCACAATGAACAACCCACCTGACATTCTCTTGAATGTCTGTGTCCTGTCGCCTGATATGGGAACTTTGGCTGCTGTCTGAAGCATCTTTGTTATCACTCCTGCTACATTCTCATTGTTTTCAAGGTCACCAGAGGACTGAAGAGACAATAATAATATTATTGAAACAAAAGTAGCCAAGGAATCTTTATGAGAATTATCCCATTTCTGGATGTCAGGCTAGGGTGAAGGCAGCTGGGTGATCTTCAAATATCATTACCTGGATCTGTGAGCAACGGTATTTCCTGTGACAGGCTACAAACTTTATATTAGTTTTTTCCTACCCAGAGGGCACAAAAACCTAAAAAAATTGTAGAACATACTAATTTCCCCTTCAAGATTGGGCAGTGGGTCATAAAAACAAGTGAGATGTTATCCTGGAAAATATTGTTGGATAGTATACAACTTCCCCCAGAATTGGAGGTGAATAGAAGTGGATATATACTAAAATGCAAAGCGTCAAGGTACATATATCTTGTGCTATGAACCAACCCTGAGGCGGATAGTTGTTTTAGTATTTACCAAATCAGTTGGATGAAAATAAAAAACTTTTTGTAAATAAAAGACATCACTCAGTTAAGAGTTTGTTTAGATTTCAATTGACAGTGTTTCAGGGAACACTTTTTTATGATTTTGTTGCAAATTAGTAAGAATTTTTTTTCTACCGCCCAGTAAACACCGACAAGCCAAATTTTGTCTCTTTCTAGGTATTTGATGGTGCAGCTGCTTCATTTACCCCTTAAATTTCATCTTCCAAAAAAGAAGCCATTTTGAATCCTGTCCCAAAACAGTGAATATCCAAGGATATTCCCAGTTACAGGAGCCAATCTGAATGTGCAAAAATTGTTATCCACTGATTTGGTGAATACTGGTAGAGGCTAGGTCAAGTCGAACTAGTTTCATATAAACAAATAAAAGCGAGATACTGAGCTAAGATATAACAATCCTAAATATGATATGACTGCTTGAAGACCACATTTCTCTTCTCGTGTTAAAAGATATTTGACTCATAACATGTTTATCAACACCCAAACAGAATTTTTGTATCTTTGTGCAGCCATGTAATATCCTCTCCCAATGATTTTTTGTTTGAGGTTCAAATTAATGTTCATTGTTTACTACAATGTGGTGAATATTACAGGTGCTTTAATTGACCCTTGCCCATGATCTATTAAGCCTGGTTTCCATATGATAGTCCGGAATCGTCCCAATCGTTCCAGTTGTCTCAAAAAATGTTCAGACGATCGGGTCGATCCAATGGAAATGCTACCCAGACGATCGCAAACGACCCGGATGACTGAGACGACCTCGATTGCTTGGATAGAGTTGAGTTCTATCTGGACGATCATGTAAATTTTGAAGCGATCATATGGAAACGCTCTCAAACGACTGACACAATTGGGATGGTCGAAGGCCATCCCAGAAGTCATCACTTTTATTCCAGTAATCGAGAATAAATTCGGCCCGCATGGCACTGAAGCCGAAAAAATAATACACAAATATTCGCAGCGCGTACGGGGTTATTTGAAATCAGAGAAACTCCGTGACATCAAGTTTTCGAAGAGATACCATGTCTTTGGGGAACTATTCTCGCATGTCAATGCTGGAAAATCAAGAGAAAAAGCAGATACCAAGGTACAAGGTTCGCTTTACAAATAAAAATCATCCATTTATGTGGCTTGTTTGCAAAACACGCACAAAAATTCTGTTGTGTGACCCAGAGACATCGCCGACAACCCTGCGTCTCTTGCCTTTGAGGCGTCGAGACGATCATATGGAAACTACCAATCACCCCAGTCTTCCGCATCGTCTCGAAATATTTTGAAACGACTAGGGTGATCCGGACGATCATATGGAAACCAGGCTTTAGAGTATGGAAAATGGATGACACCCAAGAAACGTTTTTTCTTTTTTGTTCATTGTGTAAAAGGGATTCCATGTTGCCATGGGTATCTAGTTAATAGATCACAGAAGATGTCAAAATGTGCTGAAACAACAGTAGGGAGCTTCAACAACCACGACAATAACAACATAAAAAAACAATGGTTTTTCCGCAAAACAACAGCTCTGCATGAACATCACACTTTTTAGTACATGCTTTGACTAATCACCCGTACTAATGTGACGTTTTATGGATGTGAACTTTCAAATAGCCAATTTTCTTTTCTTGTTTTGAACCTGGGTAAAGTCCTTAAGTTGTACAACTCCAGGAGACGTTGCCTACATTTGACAAACTGAGCAGATCCAAATCGATGCAATAGAGTTTGAAGGGATGTAAATTTATTTTTATTGACATTTTCACTGCTGTTGTCATCGTCTTTGCTTAAGCTCCCTTGTGCCACACTCATCTGAAAATCTTGTGCCACTCTTTTGTTTTTACCACATTTCAATGTCATCTGTGATCTACTACTGAACAGGCACACGGCAACAATTATTGGTATTTATTTGTTAAGTATATAACCCAGGTGGTCATAGGAAAGGGTTCCAATGTACTGTATATCAAATGTTTGATTTCTCAGCCAAACACTCACAGCGAGCACTGCTCCATCAGAGTTGATCACAAGGTATCCCTGTATATCTGGTATCCTGTCTAGCCCGTGAGGTATAGGAGCAGTCTTAAAGGAAGACAGGACAGGATTAGACATCAACTCATGCAACACAGTCATACAATTCATGCTTCAGCAGATTACCGTCAAGGTGTAGATCATTCAAGTGCTCATTCAGCACAAGTGCACGTACGTTCACAAACATCAAAAGAGAAACGGGAAAGTTTTTCTCAAATACTTAACTTAAGGCTAAATAACTTACAATAAAGGTACGATTGATAATGTCTGACTGAAATTCACCGATTTCATATTCAGTCTCCTAATTCTTCCAAACGATCTCTTCCACTCCATTTATAAACTATACGCTACGTTTTTACCCGGCTTTGGTAGAAACAAGCCCATTGGTACCAAATTGTTACTTCACCTGAATAAAACAAACCTTCAAAACTCACAAACTACTCACCATTTTGCTGTCTTCCCTTTCGCAAATCACGAGATTATCGGGGTTATTCTTTCATGATACGCTTACGCCAAATAGACCTAGTGTTTCATATAACAGTAATAGAATGTCCATTCTCCTGTATACCCTGTATACCCTGTATACCCATGTATACCTTGTATACCCTGTATACCCTGTATACCCATGTATACCCATGTACTCCCAGTATACCCTGTATACCCATGTATACCCATGTACTCCCAGTATACCCTGTATACCCTGTATACCCTGTATACCCTGTAAACCCATGTATACCCTGTATACCCATGTATACCTTGTATACCTTGTATACCCTGTATACCTATGTATACCTTGTATACCCTGTATACCCATGTATACCCATGTACTCCCAGTATACCCTGTATACCCTGTATACCCTGTAAACCCATGTATACCCTGTATACCCATGTACTCCCAGTATACCCTGTATACCCTGTATACCCTGTAAACCCATGTATACCCTGTATACCCATGTATACCTTGTATACCTTGTATACCCTGTATACCTTGTATACCTTGTATACCCTGTATACCCATGTATACCTTGTATGCCTTGTATACTCTGTATACCCATGTATACCTTGTTTACCTTGTATACCCTGTATACCCTGTATACCCTGTATACCCATGTATACCCTGTATACCCTGTATACTCATGTATACCCTGTATACCCATGTATACCCTGTATACCCTGTATACCTTGTATACCTTGTACACCCTGTATACCCTGTATACCCCTGTATACCCATGTATACCTTGTATACCCTGTATACCCATGTATACCCTGTATACCCATGTATACCTTGTATACTCATGTATACCCTGTATACCCATGTATACCTTGTATACCCTTTATACCCTGTATACCCATGTATACCCATGTACTCCCACTATACCCTGTATACCCTGTATACCCATGTATACCCTGTATACCCATGTATACCTTGTATACCTTGTATACCCTGTATACCCATGTATACCTTGTAATAGTAATAAATTGCTTTATTTGCATGACCGCATCACTTTACAGTATTGCAAAAGCATGTATATGACAATCAAAATAAAAACAAAACAGCACTAATAACAATCTAGAAAAATTCGGTTACATTACTAACAATGAATCACGTATTTTCATGCAGGAGGAGACAAACTTCATAACTAACTTATTTACATGATGCTCCTTCGAATTCATTATCAGTTTTATGCTTTCCGGAGATGATTTCTTGTCAAAGTCAGGTATTATTCGATTGATTTGATTAATAAATGCCTGTCTCTGTACTGAGTATTTGTTACATTGAAAGAGGAAATGAATCTCATCTTCTACCTGATTTGAGTTACATAAAGGACATAATCTATTTTCTCTTGGCAAATGATCGATTTGGTATCGACCATGTTCAATCATAAGTTTGTGATTACTTATTTTAAATTTAACAAAATTCTGTCGTTCGTCATAATGTCTTAGCTGGTAGAGATAATCAGATGTAGAATATTCATCTTTAAAAGTTTTATAAAATTCTAGTTTTTTGAATTTTCGAGGCTGTGCCAAAAAAAGATAGATATTTCTCTCTCATTTCTGTGGTATATCGTCTAATTTTATTATTATCTAGAGATTCAGCATCTAAACTGGTTAGATTGTATTGTTCAAGCATGTTTATGAAATTGGAAAAATATCCGGAATTATTCATAGAATGTAGATTCTTTGACATAAGGAAAGACTGTTTGACTATAGAGTCATTATCTTTGTTGTTGAGGTAAACAAAATATTTCATAATTTTCTGATTTATCGGGATAAGCAGCGGCAGTCTATCAAGTTCAGCTCTGCAGGCTATGTTAGAGGCCTTATTGTTAACCTCTAAGTAACGTTTACAGAATTTGAGGTGGATTTTTTCTATTGGGGAGCTATCCCATTTTTTAAAATCTTGCTTGGTGTACATTCCCCATACCTCGCTGTTGTAACTCAAGATTGGGAATACCATGGTGTCAAAAATTTGGGATGCAGTATTAGGATTAAGTTTGTTAAGAATTGTCCGCTTCCGAATACTAGAAAACGCGTGAAGGGCCTTTTCTTTTAAGTGTTCGAGTGCAAGTGTAAAGTTTCCCGTTGGAGTTAAACGTGTACCTAAATAAGTGTATTCTTGGACAATTTCAATTGACTCACTGCCTATGTTGAATTTGATGTCAATAGATTTTTTGGGCGTTTCTGGAATATCATAATTTTTGTTTTCTTGGGATTAATTTTTAGCTTCCATTTGTCACAATACAAAGAAAGCGCATTTAAACAGTTCTGTAATCCAGTTTTCGATCTTGATAGAATAACTAAATCATCTGCGTACAAAAGTGAATTTATTTTTTTTCCCATTTGGGAGAACAAATGGGTCAGATAAGGTGTTTTTCGAATAAAAGTGGTAGATTGTTTAAATAGAGGTTAAATAAAAGAGGACTTAAAATACAGCCTTGACGTACACCTCTGGAATATGAAAAAGGCTGTGTTTTGTTTTCACCGATTTTGATGGAACATGTCGAGTTGCAATAAAGACTTTTCATGAGGTTGTACAAGTTTCCTCCTATATTCGTTTTTAGCAGCTTATAAAACAATCCTTCGTGCCAAACAGAGTCAAACGCTTTGCGGAAATCTACGAAACAAGCGTAGACTTTTTCCTTGTGATAATGCACATATTTATCTATTAGGGTCCTTAGAGTGAAAACATGGTCTGCAGTGCGGTTTTCAGGCAAAAAGCCAATTTGGGAATTATGTAATATCTTATTTTCCTCAAAATACAAGTGAAGTCTTCGATTTAAAATAGAACAGAACAGTTTTCCAAGGCAACTAGAAACACATATGCCTCTGTAATTTGTTGGATCACTCTTGTCACCAGATTTGTAAATTGGGGTTATGAGGCCTTGACACCAAACATCTGGCATTTTTCCGGATTGTAAAATGAGGTTAAAAAGTTTGACATAGACAGGCATTAGTGGTTCGAGGCTTGCTTTGATCATTTCATTTCGTATTTTGTCAACAAATGGTGATTTCTTATTTTTCAATTTCTTCGCCGCTTGACGTATTTCCCTCTCAGTTATCTCATAATCGAGATGGTTAAACCGTTCCTTTTCGTGTTCTAAAGAATTTAGTTCCCTATGGATTTCATGTTCATGCGTGGAATTCGTCGGGTCAATAGAATGCAGAGATTTGAAATGGTGAAGCCATGATTCTTCCGAGATTGGGGCAGGAACATTTTCGTTGAAAGTGTCGCTCATCGAATTTAAACAATTCCAAAATGACGCCTTGTCAGGATTTAAAGCTAGTTCGTCGAGTTGTAATGTTTTTTTTCTTTGTGGAATCCTCTCTTTTTGTGCCTAGGAGCTTTTTGTAATCATTCAAGGTTTTGTGATATCTTTCCCACACTTCGGAGTTGAGGGGGTCACGGTGCTTTTCATTTGAGACTTTTCGTAATTCATGCCTTTTTAAGCGACATTCACAGTCGAACCATTTCTTGTTGGATGATTTCTTAATACGCTTATAAGTTTTCTTAGCTTTAATTTTTAGGCATAGCTTGGAGCTCTCAGTTAGAATTTTCATAGCGTTTTCTAAGGAGATATTCACATCTTCGGTGTTTCTCTCCATATATTGTCTAATTAGAATTTGGATTGGTTCCGTGCGCAGTGCGTTTTTGAATTTTAAATGTGAGTCAACTTCCCAGCAAAATTGCCGTGGTAATTTTGATAATCTATTGCTACTATTTGGAGTGTGCATTTCGTCTCCAATTAACCTGGTGTTAAGATTGAGCCATGCCACGATGGCACTATGATCCGATAAATAAGATGGCTGTTTAACAACAAAATTTGCAACGTTGAGAAATGTACACTGATCACATATTAGATAATCAATAACGCTCGTTCCGTTTTTTCCATGAAAAGTGGGTCTGCCTAGGGTATCTCCATTAACTCTGCCATTAACTATTCTTAGGTCAAAGGTTTTACAAATTTCCAACAGCCGTTTCCCATGGCTATTTAAAACATTATCAAAACTGTTTCTTTGAGTTGGCTGGAAAGCAGATTCCGACTGATCATTACTAATTCTACTGTTTCCCTCCTTTGAGACAGTATCAGAGTATTTCCCGGTTCTCGAGTTAAAGTCACCCATGAGAATTATTGATCCTTTCGAAGAAAAACGTACTATGTCTTGTTCTAGCTGATCAAAAATTTCGTTATCAAAGTATTTTGAGTTACAGGGGGTATATAGACACCACAGACGTAAATATTCTTCACTGAATTTAGAAAACGATTCTCAATTTTAAACCAAATAAAATGCTGAGTTGTTTTAGTGATGGAAATGTTTTTGTGGAATTTGTTCTTATAAAATAAAGCGATTCCTCCGGAGTTACGCCCACCTCTCCCCGACTGATTTGGTGTGGGACATTGAAAAAAAAGATTTGTATCCCGCAATTTCCAGATTAGAGCAGTTGCCAATTTCTGTTAACAATATAAAATCGGAGTTATTAATAACACTCAAAAATCAGTATTATCTAACTTATTTCCAAGATATTTCGAAGAAAGGCCATTAATATTCCAAGCGCAAAAGGACAATGTGCTTGAAATATC